GAGGCAGCCAGATATAAAACTTTAGTTCTCCCCTTCATGGGTTCAGATGGTCTGAAATTTTTAAGGTAATGTTGGAAATGTCACTGTGTCTTTCAGAAATGATGGATTTGCTTATAGTGACAACTGTCTACACAAGTATTTTTCCCCAAACGTCATGCCTGATGGTAAAATTGGATCTTGTAATAACTAAGATTATTATAATTGCTTATCTAAGCCACAGCTTTTATGAAATCTTTGAAGAGAACAAAATAGACCTAAAGTTTTTATGGATAATTAAGAAACATTTTGTGCTTAACATTTCTGATGAGTTAACTACATTTTTTTAGGCTAAAGAAGAAAAGAAGAAAATCAACTTCTTCCTCTTCAAGTGTTTCTTCTGCTGATGAATCAGTTTCTTCTTCATCATCCTCTTCCTCTTCTGGCCACAAAAGGCATAAGAAACGTAAGAGGAACCGTTCAGAGTCTTCTCGAAGTTCCAAAAGGCATTCAGCTAAGGCATCCTCTAATCAGATAGATCAGAATAGGAAAGATGAGTACTTCCCAGTTCCAACCAATACTTCAGCATCTTTTCTTAACCAAAAACAAGAAGTGGAAAAATTACTGGAAAAGCAGGATAGGTTACCATATCAAAAGAAACAGGTAAAAGAGAAAGATAGATGCCCTCTCTCTTCATCTTCAGTTGAAATTCCGGATGATTTTGGAGGTAGGTCTGAAGATCCAAGAGATTTTTATGATAGCTGTAAAACTCAGGCAGGTAGTAGCAAAACAGAAAAGCCATATAAATCAGAAAGACATTTTTCCAGTAGAAGAGATTCCTCAGATTCCTTCTGTAGGAATTCAGAGGACAAGGTGAAAATTTATGGTTATAGGAGATTTGAAAAAGACATAGAGGGAAGAAAAGAGCACTCTAGAAGGTGGGAACCAGGTTCCTTGAGGTATTCCACTTCACCAGCAAGCTCAGACTACTCTTGGAAGTCAGTTGAAAAATACAAAAAGTACGCTTACTCTGGATCACGTGATTTCAGTAGACATGAGCAAAGACATCAGTTAAATAAAAATCAAGGAGAATATGAAAGAGAGGATAATTATGAGGAGGATATTAAAAAAGAGGTTCCAGAAGAAGATGGACTGAATATCAAAGAGCAATCAGAAAGTGGAGTTAAAAAAAATTTACCTCAAAATTTAGTCAATATATTTAATCAGATAGCTGCATTTGAGAAAGAAAAGGGAAATAAGCCAAAAAATTAACATGCCAAGGGAATTAGCACCATTATACTAAAGGCTGTTAATGAAAGTTTTGGGTCTTTTAGTCATAACAGTCCAGCGCAGAGATCTTTGCTCCTAAAGTTATTTTATTTGTAGAGATTGCAGAAAGCAGATGCTTTTCAGCTATTCTTAAAGTATATTTGTTTCAGTGGTAGGTTCCCTTTTCACTGCTTGATTTTTAGGCTTTTCATGTGTATGTTTATGTACAGTATTTCTACTCTGATGATTTAAACTTCTTCACCTAAAGATGAATCTCCAAGTATTGTTTCTTCATTGTATTATGGTGTATGAGAATTCCTTGGGTCCACCTCATCCTGCTCTTTGAGAGAGAATTAAATTTGTGCTTTGAACACCTGAGTCATTTTCATCAAAAATTATTTCCTTCTTTTTTCTGTTAAATTAAAAGCCCTCAGCTTTTGAAAGAGATATATTTAAATGTTCCTTAAGTTCCATTTTATAGTCATCATTTGTTTATTAAATTTTTTGCATAACTTTTATTTTAAAATGGTAGATAGATATCTGTCATGTTTAATTGGCCTGATTTAATTAAAAATGGTTTGTATACTAGCTTAGGAAGTACCTTAGAAATAAAGCCATGAAAGTTGAATAGGGGTCCATTTTGCTTTTTTCTCCCTTTTTTCTCCTAACTATTGCTAGCAGTATACCCCTAAGAAATTTCTTAAATATTGGCAAGACCCTTGGAGACTACATTCCAGACAAGAAAAGATCAGAATAGAAAAGAATTCTTTTAGCAAAAACAGCATTGGCAAGAGAAGCACTCTATAAATCAGGTTCTCCTCTAAAGGAAAGAAAATTAGAGAGCTGTCCTAGAGTTGTGAGTATCCAGTTGGGAAGGCACTGGGTATGTTTTTTTGTGTTTTTTTTTTAAAGATTTTATTTTTCCTTTTTCTCTCAAAGCCCCCCAGTACATAGTTGTGTATTTTTAGTTGTAGGTCCTTCTAGTTGTGGCATGTGGGATGGCGCCTCAGCATGGCCTGATGAGCAGTGCCATGTCCGTGCCCAGGAGTCGAACTGGCGAAACCCTGGGTGAACTTAACCACTAGGCCATGGGGCTGGCCCCTGGGCATGTTTTTAAACAGCCTAGAGCTGGCCCGCATTTTGCCTTCTTAACACCTCCTCTCCCCTGATGCCTCCTTTCTCAGGGTGTGAATTTAAAAAAAAAAAAAAAAAGACTAGGCCAACAGAGCCTGATTTTACTCAGAATAAATTCCAGCAACTGGAGCTGAAAAGGAAGGGACTTGGATCGTAAAGATCCTCCCAAAATTACTGAAAACAGTATATAGATAAAGACAGGAGTCATAGGTGTGGAATTTATAATGGTCTTTAGAATCTTTCCAATTTAAGATTCTAGACAGTGTAAATGACAATGGGGCTTTAATACTATCACTCATGATGATGCTGGATGGGTGGGTTGTGGGGGGGTAGGTGAGTATCCACTTAGAATGTTCTGAGTGAGAGATAATGATAGAGGAAGAAGACACTTTTTAGTCCTTGTTCTGTTCTTGCCAAGAGTGAAATACCAAAACTTCAAGCATAATTAAGTATGTACTATTTGTGACCTTCAGACTTCAGTGATGAGAGCCTAATGAAAAAGCTAAAATTTGTTTTGCAGTGAAACAGAAGCTGGTCAAAAACAGTAAGTAATAGCAATAGAAATAGGTCAGTCACTCAGGCATTAGTCTTTGCACCAAGAGACTTACCTTAAAAGAGAGCCCAGTTCTTTGTATTAACAGCCCTCGTGTCATCCCTACATAGTCTCCATAGTGCTATTTTTTTTTTTTTTAAGATTTTATTTTTTCCTTTTTCTCCCCAAAGCCCCCGGTACATAGTTGTATATTCTTCGTTGTGGGTTCTTCTAGTTGTGGTATGTGGGACGCTGCCTCAGCGTGGTCTGATGAGCAGTGCCATGTCCGGGCCCAGGATTCGAACCAACGAAACACTGGGCCGCCTGCAGCGGAGCGCACGAACTTAACCACTTGGCCACGGAGCCAGCCCCTCCATAGTGGTATTTTTAAAGAGTGAAAACTCTGTTGACATAGCCCTTGATCTTTAGGAATTCCTAGTATGGCTTCAGAATTTTACCTACACTGTTTTATTTAATAAATTCTCTTTGAGCATCATTATCAACCAGCACTAATTTTGTAAAGTGTCTTTGTGGTTTAATGTTACATTTAGGCACAAAAAAATTAGGATAGTACCTTATACAACAGCCTGCCAGAATTTAGAAATTCCGTCTTCTCTAGAGCTCCTTTCCTGGCACATAGTAAACTTAAGCAGAGTACACAAACCAATTTCTAAGCATGTGTTCAGGAAACCCATCACCACAAAAGAATATTACTAGAGATTTACTTGTCAAGAATGCCTACAAGGGGCCAGCCTGGTAGCATAGTGGTTAAGTTCACATGTTCTGGATCCCGGGTGCGGACCTGCACACTGCTTATCAAGCCGTGCTTTGGCAGGCGTCCCACATATAAAATAGAGGAAGATGGGCATGGATGTTAACTCAGGGCCAATCTTCTTCAGCAAAAAGGGGGGGATTGGCGGAGGATGTTAGCTCAGGGCTAATCTTCCTTTAAAAAAAAAAAGAAAGCCTAGTGCTACCTTCAGAATTTCTTTCTAAACACGTGATTTGATTTCTTAACATCATGCTGTCTATAAACGTACATACCCAGGCTGTGTCTTTGTTTCCATAAGTAGGTGACTTTCTAACACAGCAGGTGGGTGTTAACTCCAGATTTGTGGATAATGGAAAAATGGAATTGATTCCTTGTCTCACCATTTAGCATTATTACATTGAAGTTAGAACTGTTCTTTCTTTAAGAGTTAAATGTAGACATATGCTAGCCTGAGAACCTAACCATTCCACAAATATTGTGGTAGGCTTTGTGTGGTGACTTAATAATGGGTAGAAGTTATTGTGCAATTCCTGTATGTCAGGTCCTGTGCATTTTGTATATATTATCTGATTATTTCAGTAAGTTTGTGATGCAGGTAACTGCTACTGTCTCTATATTATGAATGAGGAAAAGCATAGAGAAGTAACTTTCCCAAGATTACAGAGCTAACAACACAATCCCTGCCTTCGTAGAACACAGTATTTAATAATATTTCAAGTTCCAAGTAGTTTACAAAGTAATATAGAGCGAAGAATAAGAACTTTGGTGAAAATACAAAGTAACCGTGAGATTAATCAGTTGTTAGATCTTAAATAAATCCCATGCATAGGAACAGTATTTTACCCAAAAATTGTATTATCCATCTTTTTTACCCATCTTACTCATTGGACTTGGCTATGCTTTTTGCTGGTCTTTCTAAAAATAATAATAAAATATTCAAATAATGATCAGGAGAAACATTTACTACCCCTTCTGCGTTTCAGAAGGAACTGCAGGAGCCAGCCCAGTGGCACAGCAGTTAAGTGCGCACGTTCCGCTTTGGCAGCCTGGGGTTCACCAGTTCAGATCCCAGGTATGGACGTGGCACCGCTTGTCAAGCCAGGCTGTGGCAGGCGTCCCACACAGAAAGTAGAGGAAGATGGCATGGATGTTAGCTCAGGGCCAGTCTTCCTCAGCAAAAAGAGGAGGAGTGGCGGCAGATGTTAGCTCAGGGCTAATCTTCCTCAAAAAAAAAAGGAACTGCAAATGATAGTTCTAAACAATGACAACTGTCATAATTTTCTTTCCAAGGTTTGAAGAAAACACTACTCATCTAAGTACATAGATTCTAATACCTTTATTTGAAAACCAGTTTTATAACATAATCGTACTCCACACTCTATTCCAAGAGTTTAAGTGTTGGGCACATGTTACAATAAAGTTTAACTGAGATAACTAATTTAAATCTGGTAGTTTACTTACACTGTATATTTCTAGAATTCCTATTGCAAATCAAATCACACGTAGCTTTCTTTAAATTATTAAATAAGAAAATCTTAAAAAGACATTCTTTATGCTTGGTTGTCCATCTTGAGAGCAAAATCTTTATGTGGCTTCTTTCAAGATCAGAGTGAAGTAATTCCTAGAAATTTAAGCTGCATTTTTATGGATATACAGTGTTTCTCTCCTATCAGTTTTCTTGGTGGGGAGGGTAGGTAATGCTATTTTTTGGTTAAAAATTTTAATTATACCAAAAGAAGAAACTAATAGATTTCTCCCCCCAAAACTCTGGGAAATAGGTTTCTTTGAATAAAGAAAACCTAATGTCGGGATCTTCTAAGGTAAATGAGAGTTTTAGTAGTGTTAGAAACTCTTTATAGTATGATGAATCTTTAGAAATTTCTTGAAAGATTCTGTTATATTAGAAATGGATGTAGTGTCATGGCTAGCATGAAATAATGAAGCAAACTATTTTTCAATGTAACAGCCATCAAAATAACAGTGAAAGCATTTTCCCTGTACTTGTATAACATGTAGCCTTAAGAATCTGGTATTACTGCTTTCCTTCTATGTAAAGAAAACAGGAAAGACACTAAAAAAATTAAACCTTTCTTTAGCAAAGGACCGAAATTGCTTGACTTTTTTTTAAACTATCAGCTTTTACATTTTCCACTGGATAAAACTTTTGTCTGGTCATTGTATATTTCTAACACAATTTCAGCCTCTGTATCATTATACAGTACCCAAAAGCACAGAGTGGGATTTACTATTTTAAAAGTGTGAGATTTTTGTCTTTGTGTTTACACCTTGTTCAAAAGAAAGATTAAAATGTTTATTTGCTGCTCGTTTTGCTTTTCCCATTACTGGAGCTACTGCTGGCACTAGTTGGCCTAGCAGAGCTGCCCATCGGTGAAGTGGAGGTTGGGAAGTTCAGCTCTAATACTTTAATTGAAGCCTGAGAAGCAGAAGTACTTGTACTCCTAGATGACCTAGAAGAAAAAAACAGCATTATTACAATTTAATTAAAAATTTATATTTTAGGAGAGACCCCTCATTAAAAGTAAAACATACCAAAATCCCACAAGTAACTAAAGAGATCAAAAAGTACATCTATTCATAGTGCTAATAAATTTTAAAAACATGATCATTAATAATATCAAGAAATTAGTTTATAAAAAGGAAAAGAAAGGTAATAAACATGAGAGTTTCAAACCAGTAAAATAGTTCAATATTTTTCTATATGAGAAAAATGTTTTCAACTATAATCAATTTAGAGATGGAATCCTTAAGCATAAAAGGTAACAAAAAGAAGAGGGGCATGGGAATTTGGGTGCTGGCAAGAGTGATCAAAACGATAGGTTATGTAACTTAAGCCAAAGAGAAGAAAGCGAGAGGCCTGCTGACAGGGGTCATTTGAAAAGTGTAACTAGCCATACAATTCTAAAATGCTAAGTTTTAAAAATATATTTTAGGAAAGTACAGGGATGTACCTGGATGCTCAACAAGTTTACATAGAAACTTTCTTTTTTTACTTAAACACTATCTTTTCCGACATCCCTTTTTCTTTCTGAAATCTGTACATAGACTAATGAAAAATAAGTGGCTGCTGAATGATCTATCTGATGATAAGATTCTGGATAAAACTAAACTGCAGAATAAATAATTTCCTTTTAGCAAAATGAAGCAGCATAAATAAAATCCTCACTAAAAATTTTACCATGTGGTTTTAATCATAAAAATCATACTTCATATGTCTACAAATGTAACTTGCCCTTTTATGGTTTAAAAAATTCTCCCCCTACTCAGAGTTGGCCATGCTAGATGTAACCTCCAAGATCTCCCTGTGGTTATCCTACTGAAATAGCTGGTAGTCACGAAGCACTCTGTGCCCTTATAGAAATGGTGACACCAGATAGAAGTGGGAGGGGCCTTGCTCTGCTGGCGGTTTTCTGCACATGTGACTGACTTGCGAAGGTGGGTAAGAATGAGGAGAGCACTGGCAGATCAACAGCTGTGGCGATAAGGAAGTGGCTGGCTTCCCTTAAGATAGAAGCTGTGAGAGTTTAGGTGGTTTTATAACCTTCCACTTACCTTGCTGATAACAGTGAAGTCTGTGAAGGAGACCTGGAACTCTGACGACTGCCTTTAGTACTCGCTGCAGGCAGCTCTAAACCATTCTGGAAGAATATTCAAGAGCGATCGTTAGTATCACTACATTTTAGAAGAATAATATTTTTAATTAGATTTCACTTTATGATGAATGCCGTAAGTTTCTTACTTTCATGAAATGCTTAAGAAATATTTGTATTTAACTAGAAGGTACTCTCATTACCTGTTGAAAGTATGTTTGAAGGATAATACGGATCTCAGCATTTTGTTCTGTGACATCAACTAACATTTCATCAATGATCTTGTGAAACTGTTTCACTTCACGAAGATTGATGTCTTGTTCTTCCAGTGTTTCATCCTTTGTGTCTTTGAAACGACGTATTTCCTTGGTGAGTTTTGCACACTGTTGGTCAATGGTAGTCAATTATTATTTAAACCTATTATCCAGAACTTAATTTTTTTAATGGACAAAGGAGGATTTGGGTTTACCATTTGGAACTCCAAAAAATGTAAATATGACATCAGTTTTTAAAAGACACCAATACCTGTTTAGTTACTCTCTCTAATTTTGGCTTCTGCTCCTCAGTTTCTCTCCTTAGTTGAAATGAATAAGCCTGCTTCTCTGATAATTTTTCTTTGATGTTATTTGTTAAATGTTCTATAACTTCTAAAGTATTTTCCATGCTCTGCAGAAAATGATGTATTAACATACTTAACGGTTAGAATCAAAAATAACATAACTTGCCATATGTCAAGTATTCATTTAATTTTAATTCATTTATTTTTGTATATAATATTTTATTGGTAGATAATAAGTATAATGGTTTTATGGATCAAAATTAAAATCCATAATTTTATGGATTATGATTTAATCCATAAAGCCAAAAGTATAGCAGTTTTATGGATTAAGTTTTATAAATAATTCCACGAGGAAGTATTTTTACGTGGTATTTGGGGGGAAATAAGCAATTCAAAGACTATTGAAAGCATTTCACAATTCATATCATCTGTTGTTCTACTTTATTAGCCAAAAAAAACCACCTCCCTTTTTATATGGAGCCTGCTTACCATATACATTGTTTCCTGTTTCAGCAATGTGCTTTAGTAACTACTTTCTACTGGATTATTTTTATCCTTCAAACTTTTTTAAGGTGATCTTTAAAGGATTAAATGAAATAAAAGTTCGTTAAGTAAAAGTTAGTGGATAGATCATAATTAGCTAGCTAAGATTCATCAACTTCTTAACAGGTAATTGTTAGGGGTCCATCCTGTGCTTGCACTGGGACTTTTTTTTTTTTTTTAAAGATTTTATTTTTTTCCTTTTTCTCCCCAAAGCCCCCCGGTACATAGTTGTATATTCTCCGTTGTGGGTCCTTCTAGTTGTGGCATGTGGGACGCTGCCTCAGCGTGGTTTGATGAGCAGTGCCATGTCCGCGCCCAGGATTCGAACCAACGAAACACTGGGCCGCCTGCAGCGGAGCGCGCAAACCCAACCACTCGGCCACGGGGCCAGCCCCTGCACTGGGATTTTTAATTAATTTATTTAATACTCCGAACACTTATTTTTTTCTCATTTAAATGAAATTTATCTCTTAGTATCTACTTCTCTAAAACATTGTCTCCTTTGTACAATATAACAAAGTATAGTGATAATAATGATTAACTTTTACTAAGGGCTTATTACTAAAGCCTGTAGAATTTACCTGGATGTCTTCCTGTAGTTCTCTGATTTGTCTTTGTTTGTATCTGTATTTTTCATCAGCAGCTCTTTTTTGTTCTTCCAGGTGGATTTTTAGCTCATATTCATCACCTAGAATTTAGAGAACTTTTAGTCTAAATTTCTAACATGCTGTGTAGAAAGCAGTTGTAAAGTTTTACATATGTTAAACTTCTAACATTTTTTGTTTTGAAAGCTTAATAAATTCCTTATGTCTCCTTGTTGAAAAACAGATGGGCATGTGGTCATTTTTGTTTTTTCAACTTAGAGCAGGCAATGGGTTGCTGTTTTCTTCAGATTTGAAATTAATTCCCTAGAGAAGTGATATGCCGTATCACTAGAACACTAGAATAATGAAAATAACACTTAGCACTTACTAAAGGGGGAGGGGGTATGGTTAGTTTTCCTGACTCAAACATGGTACATTTTTGTTTTCCATGTCTCAGTGTTCTTTTTAAAATAACTGTACAGCGTAATTAAAAAAAATTTAATAACTCCTACATACTAGATGGAGTCACTTTTTTAAAGGATTGTTTGTAATTGTTGTTGCAACTGTTGAGCACTTGCAAGGTGTTTTCTAGAGCATAGATTTCTTTTTCAGCTTTGTTGATCTTAGCATCCAAACTGTCACCTTCCCTTTGAAGTTCTTCCTTTTCTTGAGCAGCCTATGAAATACAGAATAGAACTGATTGAGTAAAAGTATTACCTTGGGGGAGAATGTCTCTTTTCAGGGCAGGAAATATTTAACTCACAACAATACTAATTTGCCTGGAGCCTATGTGCAGCACCAAGCATTTATTTATTGCACTTGATTTAGAGCAGAAGACCACATCCTCAAGGCCTTCAAAATACAGCACATAGGATACAAAACCGTGATGGAAATGTAGTAACTAACCAAGCTTACATTAAAACTCTCCAACAAAAATTACCAAAAAGTTAAGCAGGTATAAACTTTACTGGGAAGAGAAACAGGGCTAACTAGAAGGAGGTTTCAAACTATATGTTAAATAAGAAGAATGTATGTTTCTGGCTTGAAAGGCTTAGAAACACCCTCATTTTAAATCTTAGAAGTAAAAGAGGTGAGCAAGCTACACCGAGGAAAGTGAATGCTTATCATTCCCAACCCAATTATGTGTGTCTTATTAGAAATAGGATTTCAACATCTTTGAGCAGTTAAGTGATGTTAAAATTAGAAAGAATACTCACTTCAGTAGTACATGCTGCAGTTGGAGCCATATAGAGAAGATTTGCATGGCACTTGGGCAAAATGACATGCAAATTTGTGAAGTGTTACATATTTTTAAAAGGAAAAATACTGCATGATTCCACTTACGTGAGGTATCGAGAGTAGTCAAATTTGCAGAGCTGGAAAGTAGAATGGAGGTTGCCAGGGGTTAGGGAGAGAGGGAAATGGGAGCTATTGTTTAATGGGCACAGATTCAGTTTTGAAAGATGAAAAAAGCTTTGGAGACAGATGTTAGTGTTGGTTGCACAACACTGTGAATGTACTTAATACCACTGAACTGTACATTTTAAAATAGTTAAAATGGCTAATTTTATATATATTTCACATTTTTAAAATAATTTTTAAAAATTGAAGATAATCATGATAAATGTGGCTAGAAAAGTGATGTCTATAAATTGCTGAAAACCAAAACTTCCACAGTGAGAGGACATACTAAGTGACTTTTTCCAGCTTAATTCTGTCACTGTACTAGTATCTCTGGAGTTGTACCCAAACAGTTCCAAAGAACTTCTCCAATTAAGGGTTGACAAGGATAGCATGCATCTAATAATTTTATTTGTTAATTTATTCACTTCCTAGGTATGTGTATTTAAGCTAGAATGTGGTCATTGGAAAGGTTTTATTGGTAATATTTCTTAACATTTTCACTGTTTTTTGTTTTATTATGCTTCAAAATATGTTATACATGTTTTTATAGCAAATAGTACATAATAAAAAATAAAGCTTTAGCAAAAAAAATAAAGTTCTTAGATAAATTACATCTAATTCCTTTAAACTGAGTCTAGAATTAGCAGCCATTTATTTTGAAACATAGTGTAGTGGAAGAAAGAGCTAAAATAAATCAAAACAGCTAGATTTTAGTTGTGGAGTTGAGTAACATTAAATAATTCACTTCCCTTCCCCGAGTTCAGTTTCTTTATTTGTCAAATGAAGGGGTTGAATTTGTTCATTTATACAAATTCCTGATCTAATTCCACATTTGCCTTAAATTTCTAAAACTCTAAAGTCCCACTTGTCTCTAAATCAGAGATTATATAATGTATACTTATTACCCAGGATTAGAAAAGCTAATATTTGGAAGAAACTTTTATTTATACCTTTCTGTCAACATTTTAAAGCATTTCCTAGTAATTTCATTGGAAACATTAAATTGTGGTCAGAATTGGACTATTTCCAAATAAAGAGGAACTTGGAAATGAGATTTGAAAAATGCCAGACCCTCACTGGTTACTGATCATATTTTTCAGTCTGGCTCTTAAGAGTGAGATACTAGAAGATACTAGGGTGAGTGAAAGGACAAACAAAACTATGTATACCCCATAGACACGAGGCTACTGCAGGACCAAAAACGAGGGCTATGGAGTGATTGTTTCTCCCAAAAAAGATATGTTAAAGTCCTAACCCCCAGCACGTCAGAATGTGACCTTACTTGGAAATAGGGTCTTTGCAGATGTAGTCGAGTTACAATGAAGGCATTAGGGCAGGGCTTAAACGAACATGGGAAATTTGGACACAGACACATTCCCAGAGGGGAGACTGAAGAGACACAGGGACAATGTCATGTGAAGATGATGGCAGAGATCATGGTGATGTTTCCATAAGCCAGGGAACACCAAAGATTGCCAGCAAACCACCAGAAGCTGGGAGAGAGGCATAGAACAGAGTCTCCCTCAGCCCTCAGAAGAAACCCGCCTGCCGACACCTTCGTCTTGGACTTCCACCCTCTAAACCAGGCGACAATACCTCTCTGTAGTTTAAGCTACCTAGTTTGTGGTAGTTTGTTACAGCAGCCCTAGCAAATTCATACAAGGGGTCAACAAACTTTGTACGTAAAGGACAAGACAGTAAATATTGTAGTCTTTATGGGCCATTCAGACTCTGTCAAAACTACTCATCCTTATTACCACTGATATTGTAGTATGAAGGCAGCCATACACAACATATAAATAAATGAGTTATGTATTATATGTTCCAGTACTTATTTACAAAGCAGCAATGGACAGCTTTTGGTCCAGGGTCCATAGTTTGCTTACCCCTGAAATACAACATGCAGAAGGCAGAACAGTGGTTAGCACTGTGACCAAATTCCTCTTCCCCAGTGCTATAAACATACATACATGTGCCCATCAGGAAAGATCACCTTTGGGAGGAATGTAAAGGATATAAGGAAGGGAAAGAATCTTGAATTGACTAAATTTATGCACTAAGTCTACCACATTCAAAACAGAAGTGACGGTTAACTTCTAATTGGCAAGTTTAAGCTTTTCCCAGCAGTGAAGCTGCTGAAGTATTATTTTCAAAACGTTAAAAATTATTCTCATACAAATATAAAATGAACATGTGCCAAAAATTTCATTCAACTCAAGGAATCAGTAAGACGTTTAGACAAGTTCAGAGGAATTGGACAGATTTTATATATGTACACAGTCAGAAATGCTGAAATAAATTTGCATATGGATATGAAACTAGTTAATATCTTTTATGGCAATAAAATATAATGCTTGTGTTATCTTTCCTACAGAATGTAAGTCAGTTGTATTTCTACTGGCCAAAATTCCTTTACATTGTTATGGACAAGAATCATATGCATTACTATCAGTTTTCTACAATTTAACATCTATCCCTACAGTTTGTAAAATAGGTTAGTCAACAGAAAATCAGTCAAAAGTGTGCACTCCTATAGAATCAGATAATCCTTAGAAAATGCCAAGTCTGGTGTCACCATGCAGTGGCATTACTGCACACCCATGGACTGCTTTTGACCATTTTCAGGTCATGGGTAATTTTTCTCAACATAAGCCAGACTGAGTTTAGCTATAAAGTAAGTTTCATTTTTACACATTTGGCACATGTGGAGTATTATGAGTACAACGTTTAAATATGTTGTGCAATGAACAATGGGAATAAGTGGCAAGCTGTGGACCCTGGAAAAGATGGAAAGTGAAGTGTGGCATCAGGAAACTGAGAAAGGTAACTGATAGCCTTCATTCATATTCATTATACTGATATTTATCCAGCACCTTCTCCGTAAACAGAAGGAATACTCTTCCTCATAAAATTTGCCTGTTTTCCTAAGATAACAATAACAATAATGATGGCTAATATTTATTGAGGGCTTATTTTGTTCCAGGTACTATTTTAAGGGCTTTACATATATTTTCTCATTTACGCCTCACAACAAAAGTAAGAATATTATCCTCATTTTGCAAGTTAGAAAACTAAATTTAACTGTTTAAAACCAAATTGTTAAATAACTTATTCAAGGTCACCTACCTAGTCAGTGATAGAACCAAGATATGGACAAAGGCACTTTAACACCGCCAGTACTTTTGGGTAACTTATCACAGCCCTTGTTGGTAGAGAAACTTAACTGGAATTGTAACATCTACCTTCTTCCCAACACTTACAGTAGAACCTACTCTTCACCCCTTGGGAACCTTTAAAACTTGAGGAAAGTCCTGTTAAGATTGGGCAGAAGCCTGAGGTACTATAGACTAATGAGTTTCAAGAAGGATCTGAGAGCTGGGACTCATTTCTCATATAGGTTAGGTGGAGTTTCCTGAGCCAAGGTAGCAGGCAAGCACACTTAGTATTAAGTGTTAAGGGTAGCCTCAAAGAAGGGCTCCAGAAGGAAACTTGGAAGATTAAGTCAGAAGGGAGGGAGCACCCACAAGGGCCATCCCCTAAAGGTGTGAACTGGGAGATCTTCCCACTCCTATCTATCTATGATACAGGAAAAGTGAGTTGTTACAATTTCCATCCCTTCTTTATGGTATTTTGAGTAACTTCCCAGACCTCTCTGTAAAGGAAATCACACCTGTTCAGGGTATTTTCTACACGGGAAAGATGACTATAGCAGTACTCAGCAAGGGAACTGTATCCAATTCCTGATGACTTCTGAATTTCCCCTTATGGGTCACTACATAAAGATAACCATGAGATGGCAGACAACACTCAAATATTTGAACAGAGCAGATTCACCTGATCTGTTGTCTCCCATCTAATATGAAGACAAAGGAACAGCCCTCTTCCTCTCTGGATATCTGCCATACCAGGACTGCAGTGGTAAATTGGAGTGTAAGATTTCAGAGGTGGTATGGCTCCGGGTGATGATAAGGTCTAGGGTGTGCCCATATGAGTAGGTGGCTATATCGAAGTCAAGCTATCGAAGTCAAGCTTTGAGCCTGAGGTGCTGAACAGGTTGTCACATACATGCTAAAGACACTCAGATAGTAGATCTTACTTAGAGTATGAGATTATGAATCTTGAATAAAGGAGGGGAAATGACATGACACAAATGATAGCAAAAAAAAGAAAAAAAAGTCAAACAGTGGTCCAGACCTCTCTTTGACTTCATGGACTGGAGGTGTATAAAACTAATGGCACTTCAGTACCTCCATCTAGCAACTAATGTTTCCTGGCTCTAATTAAGTGCAATAGCTACTAGAGTGATGAAATTTGAAACTTCGTGGCAAAAAAAAAAAAAAATGCAATTTTAGTTAACAAGAGTTAACAAAGGATACTTCATTCTATCACAACTGTAAATCAATTAAGATTACCTTTATTACATAATAGGCCTGTGTTTTCTCCTCTTCTCCTTCAGGAGGCAGCATAACAACAGTAAGAATTTCATATCTATTCTTCAGCTTATCAATTTTACTTAGCCGCTCATGAAACTCAGCACTAATATGGAAAGAAAAAGAAAAACTCAACACTGAAAACCAAACAACATACTTTTTTTTAAAAGGATTATAGTGTTTTTATAGAAGACATTTGTATTGGGTTACTACTGAACTCAAACAGGTTAAATATGTTCTCACTTTTCAATTTTATAATTCAGTGTGAAGGGTCTCAGATTTCACCCTATTTGAAAGGTAACAAGTTAGCCTGCCACAGTTTCATGGATACTGACAGAAGACACAAGATTCCCGGCTCAGAGAAAAAGGACTTTATCACTCATGGCAAACCAAGTAGCATGAGCTTCCTGTTTGCATTGGTTCCCCTTGCTCCCGAAGTTTCATGCAAGTGAGGAGTGGTTCAAATGGATGCTGCAAACACAGGCTTACGTCACAGCTCAGGAACCTCAAGCTTAGGTAATCCAAATATTTTATAAAGCGAAGAAAACAAACATACCTAACTTTTGCTCCAGAGAGAGATACTACTTCTAGCTTCCAAGGCTGTTCACTATCTAAACATCTTTTAAAAGATAGTCCAATGCAAACCAAAACCACACTAAGATCACCTCGCACTCATTAGGATGGCTACTATCAAAAAACAAACAAACAAAAGTCTTGGTGATGATGTGGAAAAATTGGAACCCTTATGCACTGGTGGTGGGACTGTAAAATAGTGCAACTGCCGTGGAAAACAGTATAGTGGTTCCTTAAAAAATTGAAAATAGAACTACCATATGATCGAGCAATCCCACCTCTGGGTATATAGCCGAAAGAACTGAAAGCAGGTTCTCGAAGAGATATCTGCACACCAAAGTTGATAGCAGCATTATTCACAAAAGCCAAGGGGTGGAAGAAACCTAAATGTCCATGGACAGATGAATGGCTAAACAAAATGTGGTATATACACACTATGGAATATTATTCAGTCTTAAAAGTAAATTCACATGCCTCAGGGATGAAGCTTGAGGACATTGTGCTAAGTGAAATAAGCCAGTCACAAAAAACCAAATACTATATGATTCTACTTATATGGGGTCTCTAAAGTAGTCAAATTCATACAAACAGAAAGAATGATAGTTACCAAGGACCACAGGGAGAGGGAAGTGGGGAGTTAGAGTTTCATGGGTATAGAATTTCACTTTTGCAACATGAAAAATTTCTGGAGATTTGTTGCACAACAATGTGAATATACTTAAATCTACTGAACTGTACACTTAAAAAATGGTGAAGATGGTAAATTTTACGTTATGTGTTTTTTACCAACATTTTTTTAAAAGATAGTCTAGAACAGGACTGTTAGTGCCTCACCTTGCAAAGCATGCAGAAATACGAGAAACCCATGGAGAACTGTCCCCCAAGATTTAGATTCTTAAATCTGCTGGTTACTTTTTTCCTTTAATTTCCATCAAGTTATATTTTATGAACTATTTTTAACTTATTTTATAGTACTAATAATGCTAATCTATGCATGGGAAAATGGAGAGTGACTCATTTGTCTGCTACAACCTCATGAGAGTGAGCCATCCAACCAAGGTGAAAAGAAATTTTCAACCTACCAATTTTCCTACTCCTAAAGAAAGTTGATGGCAAAATATATCAAGCATCAGAAGTTACAACTTTGCTTATATTTTAATGTTACTATTGTTTCATCAGAAAATATTTACTGATCCTTTATGTGGTTGTAAAAGACAAGGCTTGTGGGCCTTTCAGCTGAAGATGGTGGACTGAACACAAGTATATCTCTCCCTCTTCCTAAAATGGAAAGATGAAAGGAGAAAAAGCCACCACAGCTCTGGGAACAAGACAGAATTTCTTCATCAATTCATGAAAAAATGGAAAGCAAATGGGATACAATTGGCGGGGGGCAGGGAGAATGGAGATACACACAAAAGATTAATGCAGAAATAAGAGCCATTTTTCACCAAAGAAGTCTGGAGAAAATCCAAACTCAGGAATAAGAAATAAAAAGAGCAAGAGTGATCTCTGAGGGTATTGTCAAGGTAATTAATAAAGGGATTGCCTACAGAACATCTGGGCCACTTTCCTCAACCCCTCAACGTACACAGAGATGTCGAGCAATTATTTATGCTCCAACGATAACCCTCAAAATTACCAGTGTCTAGCATTGTATGTTGGAGCTGGAGAGAAAAGCAAAAAATAAAAAAGATGTAATTCCAGGCCTCCACAGCAGTGGAGGTTAATAAGAAAGAGAGGCAGTTCCACCGAGGAATGAAATAAAATCTTTATCACCCAAAATAAACTCCTTTAGAGACAAACTTCCTAGGCTCCTGAAGGGACAGACTAGCCCAGAGCCTACAGTCTTCCCATTTAGAGGAGAGACCTGTTGGAGAAAGAGATCTATCTAATTGAAGAAGAAACCCATACCAGCAAGCTGTACCAATCACCACGATTATTAATCAAGCGTTTGTTAATAAATACAACAGAAAGTCAAGGACTATCAGACATTTGTAGAAAGCTAACAGCATGAATGAAGACAACAAAATGAGCAAAGACAGAACAGACCCTAAGAGAAACAAAGATAATGAATGGGGTAGAAGAGAACTTTCAAAGTATTCTAATTACTATGCTCTAAAAGTATTCCCAAAATACCCATAAAATAAGAATAGGCTACTATGAAAAGAAAGGACAAATGAAGGAACAAGAGTTCTTGCAAATAATTTCCCCTTTTCAATTTAAAAGTCGTGAAGATGAAAGATTGAATCAGTGAGTTAGAGAGATGGAGAAAGAGAGGCAGAGGCGGGGGTGGGGAGGAGATAGAAAGGAGGAGAATGAGGGGGGAAAGAATGAGAAAATATAAAAAAGTGGAATAAAAAGAATAGAAAATTAAAAACAAGAGAAAAGTTAAGAAATCTGGAAGACAGATCTAAGAAGGCCAACATCCATTAAAAATCAGCAACAATTGGGAAGAATAGAGAGTGGTGTGAGAGAAAAATTAAAGAATAGAAAAATATTTTCCTGACCTGAAGAAAGACTTAAATGAAATAATTGAAAGACTTCACCAAGGGTCAAACAAGGAAAATGAAAAAAGATAAAACACCCAGACACGTGGAAATTCTGAAACCCCAAGTATAAAAAGATTGTCCCAAAGCTTCTGGAAACAAAACAAAAACCAGATTCCCCACAAAATAAAATGAATTAGTCCAGAATCAGACCTCTCATAAATAACACTGTAGTCTAGCAGAATATGAAATAATGCTTCCCAAGTTCAACTGTAATTCAAATATGGGATAGAATAAATATGTTTAAAACATGCAAGGATTCAAATTTCAGAAAACATCAAACCTGAAAAAAAATTCAACTGAGTCCGCAAAAGTGAAAACGGGAATCCAAGAAAATAGGATGACAAAGGATACATGAAAGATTATTAAACCAAGAAACAAGTAAAACAGGTTGAAATGATGCTGGCAATTGGCTGTACAGTTTAATGCAAGTTATAAGAAAGGAGTTCTTCAAAAAGTAGAGACATACTATTAGAAACAATAAATATGGGGCCAGCCCAGTGAGGCAGCAGTTAAATTCGCATGTTCTGCTTTGCCAGCCTGGGGTTCGCCAGTTCGGATCCTGGGTGCAGACATGGCACCGAGTGGCAAGCCATGCTGTGGTAGGCACCCCACATATAAAGTAGAGGAAGATGGGCAGGGATGTTAGCTCAGTGCCAGTCTTCCTCAGCAAAAAGAGGAGGATTGGCGGCAGATGTTAGCTCAGGTCTAATCTTCCTCAAAAAGAAAAAGAAAAAGAAACAATAAATAACAACCTGAAACTATAATCAGGGATTTCAACAACACATGAAAGATGGAGAGAGGAAATGCACCAGTAAAAGACGCAAAAAGTCTTATTTCTCTTAGGAAGAAAAAAACAATAGGAACTAATTAATCTTCAGTATTCCTAGAGAAATAGGAAGATTAAAATTTCTTTTGAATTTAAGAATAACCAACAAAATAATTAAAATTAGAGTGTAGATATTCCAATAATTAAAGAGAAAAGAAGGAAAAAACAAAATTCAGTAAAACTAATGAAAGACAGGAAAGACAATAAGAATACCTACCATAGGATCCAGCTATTACACTTGTAGGTATTTACCCAAGAGAAAAGAAAGCCTATATCCATATCAAGAACACACATGTCCATAGCAGCTTTATCTGCAATAGCCAAAAACTGGAAACAATTCAAGTGTTCATCAACAGGTAAATGTATATATAAACTGGGGTAGATATACACAATGGAATATTACTACTCAGGGATAAAAAGCCGGGATCAGCAAGGCATCCTGCCCTGCCACCTGTTTTTGTACAGCCCTCAAGCAAAGAACGGCTTTTACTTTTTTTTTCTTTTTGCTTGAGGAAGATTGTCACTGAGCTAACATCTGTGCCAATCTTCCTCTACTTTATGTGGGATGCCACCACAGCGTAGCTTGACGAGCACTGTAAGGTCCATGCCCAGGATCCGGGCCTGCAAACCCCGGGCGACAGAAGCAGAGCACATGAACTTAACCACTACACCACCGGGCCGGCCCTGGCTTTTACATGTTTTAACGTAAAGTGGTTGAAAAAAATCAAGAGGAAAATTGTATTTCATGAAAAATAAAAATTATATGAAATTCAAATTTCAGGGTCCATAAAGTTTTATTGGAACACAGCCATGCTGATTTATTTGCATTGTCTATGACTGCTTTCCTTCTACAATAACAAATTGAGTTGTTGCAACAGAGACCATATGGCCCACAAAACCTATAATATTTACTATCTGGCACTTATAAAAAAAAATGCGTAGAATACAGTTAAAGTAGTACTTAGAGGAACTGTTTAGCCTTCAAAGTTGAAAATTAATAGCTAAGCATCTATCTCAAAAAGTTAGAAAAGGAACATCAAAATAAACCCACAAAAATAGAAGGAAAAAGTAGTAAATGTGAGAGCTACAATTAATAAAATAGAAAATGAATCTGCAATAGAAAAAATCAGCAGTAGTTGATTATTTTCAAAGAGTAATAAAATTAACTACTGACTTATCCCACCCAAAGAAGAGAAGTCACAAATAACCAATAACTGCAGCTGTTAATCAATAATACAATGATATTGTGAACAACTTTATGGAAATAACTTTGAAATTTTAGATTAAATGGAAAAATTTTCCTAGAGAAAAATATAATTTACTAAAACTGACTCAAGAAGAAATACAAAATCTGCATTGTCCTATAACCAATAAATAAATCGAACCAACAGTTGAAAATCCTCTTCAAAAAACTCCAGGCCTCCAATGGCCTTACCAGTGAGGTCTTTGAAAATTCAAAAAAGATATAATTCTACTCTTTTACAAACTTATCCACAGTATAGAAAAATAAGGGACACACATAAATCATTTTATGGAAGTAGACATAAATTTAATAACCTGATAACAAGGGCAGTAGAGAAAAAATAATTATAAGCATGGTTGCAAAAACCATATGAAAATATTACCAAACAGAATCTAGATATATACAAAATGTAATATGTGACAGACAAGTTGCATTTATTCCAGGAATGTAAGGTTGTTTTAACTTTGAAAAAATGAATCAATACATTAATTACGTTAAGAGATTAAAGGAGCTACATCATATCAATGAATGCAGAAAAAGCATCTAAGAAAAGTCAACATCCATTCCTGATTAAACAAATTAAAACAACCTCTTAGCAAAGAATGAAAATAGATGGGAGTTCCCTTAATATTATAAAGAGTATCTCAAAAAACATTACGGTAGGGGCTGGCCCGGTGGCGCAGCGGTTAAGTGCACACGTTCCACTTCGGCAGCCCAGGGTCCACCACTTCAGATCCCGGGTGCCGACATGGCCCCACTTGTCAAGCCATGCTGTGGCAGGTGTCCCACGTATAAAGTAGAGGAAGATGGGCACGGATGTTAGCTCAGGGCCAGTCTTCCTCAGCAAAAAGAGGAGAATTGCCAGCAGATGTTAGCTCAGGGCTAATCTTCTTCAAAAACTAAAAAATTAATAAAAAACCAGTTCACACTTAAGGTGAAACAATGGACACTTTCCCTTTGAGATGAGGTGTAAGACCAGGGTATCTGTAGTCACCACTGCTCCTCAGCATTGAACTGATAACAAGGGCAACAAAGCAAGAAAAAGAAAGCTATAAAGAATGAAAAGGAAGACACAAAAGATGAAAAAAAGTTATGTGCAAATGATGTGAATGAAACACCTAGAAATTAGAATCTACAGATCAGTTGGTAGAATTAATGAGTTTAAGCAAGGTTGCTGGATACTTAATATACAGAAATCAACTGTATTTCTGTATACCAGGAACAGACCAAAAATCAAATGTTTTAAAAGGAAATAACATTGACAGTAATGTTAAAAAAAATTAACATGTAGGGGCTTGCCCCGTGGCCGAGTGGTTAAGTTCGCGCGCTCCGCTGCAGGCATCCCAGTGTTTCGTTGGTTCGAATCCTGGGCGCGGACATGGCACTGCTCATCAGACCACGCTGAGGCAGCGTCCCACATGCCACAACTAGAAGAACCCACAACGAAGAATATACAACTATGTACCGGGGGGCTTTGGGGAGAAAAAGGAAATAATAAAAAAATCTTTAAAAAGAAAAAAATTAACATGTAGCCAGGAATAAATCTTATAAAATGCAAAACCTCTAGGGAAAAACAGCTTCGATAATGACAGCTATTGGGTATCCATAAGGGAAAACATGTAACTGACCCTTACCACAAACTATACACCAAAATCACTTCCAAGGGTTTGATTAACCATCTTACTGTATAAGGCAGCATCTAAAGAATGAGGCGTGAACCAAAGGAGAAAGAGCGGAAAAGCATAGATTTATGGTTAAAATATGTCCTATATATTACATTAGAAGCCTTTTCAAATGATTAAGAAAAAGATGGACATCCAGGTGGTGGAGAGAGCAGTCAGTTCTTCTGACATTAACTTAATGTTTTCAAAATTCTTTAGCAGTATTTTAAGACTCTAATTATTACCTTATGTTTTGCCGTTCTTGATCAACATATCTTATTTGTGATGCAAGCATTGTTTTGTGAACCTTAATTTCTTCAGTTCGTTCTTCCATAGCTGTGTGTATCTGCTGCTTTCTTTTCTCCAGAGAAAGAACTTCTTCTGCCTTACTGTGAAGCATTTCTCGAGTACGTTTAACTTCAAGTTTTAAAAGATTGTCTTCAATCATCAAATCCTATCAACATAACAAAACTGTCAAATATTGAAATATTTATTTGTACGCCCAAACCAAAATATTTTTCTTTTTTATTGCTACAAAAGTCAAACTTGAAAATACAACTTTTTCTAATTTGACTATTGACCAAGATATCAACTCGGGTTAAATTTAAATTGCTCTGAGTCATGATTCTATTTGTTCTTTTTCTTTTAAAAAAAGAGTTTATGGCTATTCCAAGTCTTTTATTATAATTCAATTTTGCATTCAAGTTTTACAAAAAAAAAAAAAAGGAAGAAGTTATTCCTAAAATTGAAACTTACAACATCCAGAACATACATGATGTCCTATGGATGAGAATTTTTACATTCTAAACTAAACCTCACAAAATAATGTATAAATAAATTCTTATTTTGAAACAATTCAATCATGAGTAGAATAGTGACACAAGAGTACACAAATAGATCAATTTTCAAAGTAGAAACCCCAGAAACAAAGATTCCAGAAAATAAAATTTTACTATTTCAAAACACAGCTTTTCAGCTAGAGAAAAGATCAGATATCTACATTTCACATGTTCCCAAAATAAATTCTAGATGAATGAAAAAACAATGTAAGAGATGAAACCAATGCAGCTGCTGGAAATACTAAACTTTTGTTTGAGTTTTAGTGTGAAAAAGAAGTTTCTAGGCATAAAAATTATACAGAGAAAAACACAAATATTTGACGTTAAAAAAAGTTTTTATGTCAAAAATCTTACTAAAAGTTTAAAGACAAATGGGAAAAATATTGACAATATTTATGACAGAGTTAATATCTTTATATATGAAGATCTTTTGCAAAGAAATTTAAAAACATAAACCTTCTAATGGAAATATGGGCCAAGAACATAAGCTAGAAATCCAAAAAGAAATACTATGGAACATAACATCATAGAAGAAATGTTTTAAACATTTTTACCTAAACATAAATATTTAAAATTTTATGTTTGAATATAACATGTTTTAAAAGGTCACCAATTTTAAAAATGCAGAGTAAAAACAATGAGATACCATGTTTGTCCATCAAATTGACAACAATTTTCTAAATAATATTATCCAGCTTTGGTGGTGGTGAGTAAAATGGAATGCTTATACACTGCTGGTGAGAGTCTTAACTGAACCCTCGAGAGGGCAATTTGGCTTAAAAATAGTTTCAAGACACGAAAATATTCTTTCTTTCTGAACCATAATTATACAGCTAGAAATTTATCCTAAGGAACTAAATGAACAACTGTACAGTGATGTATGTGCACAGTACCTGATGTGGTATTTAGAACAGCGAAACATTGGAAACAAACACATACCTAAAAGATAAGAGCTGGTTAAATAGATTACGGTAACTTCCTGCCGTGGACTGTAAGAAGCCTTTAAAAATATTTTTTAAAGAACATTTCATGTTTTGGAAACATGTACAATATATTTAAAAAATTTTGAAATATAATATTTAAAGCCAATTTTCTTTAAAAGACTGGAAGAAAATAATACACTTCAACAGTTTATCTTGTGTACAGTGATTACAGTGACTGATTTTCTTCTTTATAATTTGCTATCTTTTTAAAATTTTCTTCAATTAGCATGAAAACGTAGTTTTTAATGCTATATATGCATATGATTTTATTGCACCTGTTTCAAAGCTTTGGCTTCATTAAGTTCTTTCTCTGATCTGTCATTGAAAAGGTTTAGTTCATTTATTTTGGTCATGAGGAGCTGTTTTTCATCAAGATTTTTACTATTTGACTTCTTCATAAAGTAAAGATCATTCTGTAAAAAAGAAAAAAGGTACATAAATACATATTTAAATAACAATATTAAATATATCTTACAATAAATTATATGCTCCATTAATATTTATAATAATCAGGTTTTTTAATCTCATTCTTCATGCTCTAATGTCTCTAATATAATATACATGGATATTCACACAGAAAGATTTTCATTTTTATCATCTATTGATATTTGGGCTTGGTTTGAATTCGATAATTCTAGGAAATATTATTTATGGTTACAGTTCAACCTGAATGATTAGGTGATTGCCATTTATGGGGAGAAAGGAGAGCAGGGGGCCCAAGCTTTGGTTCAATATATGTTCACCTTCTGGAGTTCATTATTTGATTCAACCCAAGTCACAGAAAGTAAAAACATTAACAGTCGGAGAAAGTATAGGGTCTTGGTTAACAGCACAAGCTCTGGAATCAGATGGCCTTAATTCCATATTAGCCATCTGACCCTGGTGGGCAACCTACTCTTTCTCAGTTTCCTCATTTCTAAAATGGAGATAATAACAGTACCTACCTCCCTGAGTTGTTTGAAGATTAAGAAGTTACTGTCACAGAGTATATACAACGCTGTTTGACACATGGAAGTGTCATGTATTATTATTATTCTTATATATATAATCACATATTGCTAGAGAGAAAAATGCTAGATAAGATCCAATTCCATCAGATGCATAAATGGGCCTTGTACACACCCAGATACCCGTTTTCTAGCTTTAGCCAGTTTTTATCCTCCCTCCCACCCAGAACCCAGAACAAGATTTGTGCTGTTAGTGCCCTCGGGTACCTAAAGCAAAAACTTTGTAGTTCCGAGATCTCTCTCTTTTTCTCTCTCTTCCTCTCTCCCTGTCTCCCTCCTTCCTCTGCCTTTCTCATTGCCTGTATTTCTCTGAAGTATCAGATCTCTGACTGAAGCAAGACAGTAAGAAGAGGAACTTTTTTTTACATAAAGATATGATTTCATAAAATTAATTTTTAGAACAAAAAAATTTAAATTTAGGATGATTTTCAAACAGAAGAAATTAGTTTCTATTATGCAAAATGAGAGATGGAGGGGCATGGGAGAGGGAATGCAGAATGACTTTACAATCTGAGGCAACGATTGAGAGAGCAAACCTTCATTAGAAGGGTAACTGGCTTCAATATCTTTAAAAATTCACTTGCATTTCTATTCATTTATTTATCTCTCTGTTAAAATCAGAGTTGGGATAGGCATAAGCACTATAAGTACAACTGCATGATGGACAGAGCCAGGCGGTGGCTAAAAGAGGGAACACTAAAACCAGCCCCGCACAGCAAAACAGACACAACTCAGTCAAGAAACGTTCAGATACAAATGTCAGCCTCCTATCGTTCTGGAGCATTAATATTCTCATATTCTAAATAATTAAACGATACCATTTATTGAGTACCTACTAAAAGCACTGTGTTGACATATATATTGCTGCTAATTCTCCAAAATGCCCCAGAATAATATTAAATTATTTTTTCCATTTAATAGATGAGTGAACTAGAGCTCAGAAAGTTAAAATAGTAGTAGTGGTGTAACCTTGACATTCAAAACTAGTTCTTTCTGATTCCAAAATATATGCTCTTTTCCACTAAACCAAGAAAGAAGTTAAAAAGATATTTCATCAGGCTACAAACTACTACAAACGAAAATGTTATTATCTTGAAATTTTAAAAAAAAATTTAAATTTTAAAAAGTTAATAGCTCCCTTTCACCTTGGTAGCTTCCTAAAGGAATTCAGGACAATTCTTCTAATAACCACTAGAGGACGCTCATCACCAGCCTTTCCAGCTGTTAAGTAACATTTAAACCCTCTGGAGTTCTCATCCCATTCAGATCCACATTCTCACTCCTTCACTCTCACTCTCCAATTAAACTTTAACATAGCTTCTATATTTGATAGGTCCCCCTAACATAGGTTTTATATTATCATAAATATATTAAAATACCTAAAGATGAAGAACATTTTCACCTTATTAACAAAATCGTGTCATTTGAAATATTGTAACTAAGTAAATATTTGAATAACAACAATAGATGACCCATAAAAGAGCAGCTTCTTCGAGAGGTCATTTCAGAGATAATGGGCAATCAAGTTATTATGACAGATACACAGCAGAAAACTGGAATTTATCAATGTTATAAATTGTGTACTGTTTAAGAGTATTTTGAAGTCATACGGGCTGGGGATTAAATCTCAGCTCTCGGTGTACCAGCTGTGTAACCGTGGACAAGTTGCTTAATCTGTAAAACAAGTACTAATAGCTTCCTCACAAGACATTTATAAGGATTAAATGAAATACAATACTAAAAGCATGTAATATATTTAGCATAAGGTAAATGCATAATCAATGGCAATGTTATATTCTCATAGTATAGAAATATGAACATTAATTCATACATATGTTATATATGTAGGTAGCTTGGGAATCATCCTATCTGAAGTAGAGTCTGAGGAACATGCTGACTTAGAATGACTCATGACTAGCACATTTGAAGCGTAAAGAGTATTTTGGCTAAGTTACATGAAGCTTCTTGATCTGTGTTTCCAAAAGGCCAACTGTAGATTTTTTGTCTTCGAATGTCTTTTTAAGTTCAACCACTTTTGCTTCAAGGGCTTGTTTTTCTTCTGAATTAATTTCTCCCTTCAACCGCGACATTCGGCGTTCTACTTGTTGAATGTAAAAATCCTGTTACAGATTTTAAAAATAAGTTAGTAAGGAGAAAAAAACAGTTAAAACCATTTCTATAAATACAAAAACACAGTAAATACTTTCTTATGAGTTTGGCCTGGGGTTTCGTCATTTACTTAAAGTCATTTTAATCCTTCAGTAATTTATAGGATAAAATCCAAAATCCAAGAGTAAGGAACTCTAAGGGGAGAAACAGCAAACTATTCTTCAAGAAACAGGGTACGTGATAGTGACATGGAAGTAATCTTCCAAAAATATAACAAAGTCAGCCAGGGGGCTATTTATCATACATACTACCATGATGAACCCCAGTAAATACACTGGACTTACGTGGACATGGATTTTTGAGGGTACATTTTCTAAGGGATGCAAAAAAAATGATAGAATCACAAATTATTAGCCACAAAAGGCTCAAATATGATGAGCTTCTAATAAATTATTTTTTAAATTATACTTTAGCATCTGTAATCTTGAGAAACTAAGAATATATTAGGGGGGAGTTAAGATGTAAAGAGGGAAGACATTAAGAAATTAACATGAGACAGAATACATACATAGAACAAGTAAGGAAAAACTAAAAAATACTTTTAACCTGTTGGTCTAGGGGTAGGGCTGGGGAAGCCATTGCACAACTAAGAATCAACACATGGTTTTCTAGGTTTCAGATATTCCAATCCTTGTTTTGTTTTACTCCAGGTGCAATTGCCCCAGGCTCCTTTAAAGCATGGTTCTCCCTCACTAGAGTTGTCTATTCTCTTAACTGTTCATTTCAGATCAAGAAGAAAAATAGCTTTGAAGGCCCCTCACTCCACTACTGACCTAACATGACAACCCATCTTCAGCAGCTGTCTCTCCTTCCAAGAGGGCTTAGCAATCTTCGTTTCCTTGGGACACTGCAGGATCTTGACCATCACAACTATAACAAATCAATATGGAAGATAATCATAAGAATAACATCTACCTGACTGTACATAATTTCTTGCTGCTTCAAGGTTTCAAAGTCCAGTTTATGTAACTGATGGTTGAGGTGCTTCAGAGAGGAACGGGTTCCTTCAATTTCTGATACAACTGCTTTTTCTTTCGTTGTCTCAGCCTGTAATTCCTGAACTTTCTTAAACAGCACATCTTTCACTATGTTTAACTGAACTTCCACTTCCTGAGGATCAGAATAATAGTGATTAATGAAATTATAATACCTTAAACTGTTTTAATATATGAACATTATAATTTAGGGGCTTATAAACAAACCCCCAACATTTCAGCCCTTGAGAATACAAAGCCCTTCCCACAATTTCAACAAATCCCCAACACTTCTTGTAGTCTGCTCTCCTCCAGTAGACTAGTAGTTCTCTATTCCTGTATCATGCATCTCCATCTGTCATCTTAATTCTATCCTATGCTACGCTAGCCTTAGAACTTGGCCACTCCACTGGTTTCCTTAGAAATAAAATATGCTGGAGACACACAGCTTATAAGTTCACAAAATTTACTGAAGTCTTGAGGATGTTACGGGGAAGAAATCACATCCCCCAGTCTCCTACCATATTTTGGGCACTATCCAGTGGTGAGCAAGTAAATGTTTAACCACCAGCTTCCCAGTGAATGGGAGGTGAGGAGGAAGAGGCTGATTTCCATGGTGTAAATACTCCCACTATGGCCAATTTCAAGCTACTAATATGATACCACTAAATGCACAGTTGGGAAGAGAGATGCAGTAGGAGACCATTATGGTTTATTTCCACTATAGAGACACGTAGATGTAAGTAATCTTAAGTAACCTTAAGAGCATAGATAATGGTAAAATAACTTGGAAGTGATGAGTGCTGAGTAATTACTACTTTTGTTTTTAATATAATTTGTTTTAATTCTAAGTCTATATAATTTACGTTTTTTTTTTTTTTTTGAGGAAGATTAGCCCTGAGCTAACATCTGCTGCCAATCCTCCTCTTTCTGCTGAGGAAGACTGGCCCTGAGCTAACATCTGTGCCCATTTTCCTCTACTTTACATGTGGACACCTATCACAGCATGGCTTGCCAAGCAGTGCCATGTCCACACCCGGGATCCAAACCAGCAAACCCGGGGCACCTAAGCAGAACATGCACACTTAACCACTGTGCCACTGGGCTGGCCCTATAATTTACTTTTTAATAGTAGCTATGTTTAGCAGCCAACTTGCAAAATTCCAGAAAATTTAACTATCAGCTCTTGCGAGCTGGTAGGGGCTGGCCCCAAAACACAATTGGCACTACCCCTCATTCATACCTTGCCTCCAGTTGCCCTCCCTACATGTACAGCCCTCTAGGAAATAGAAACCAGTGCCCTATTCCCACTGCTCCTTTCTCAGGAGGCAGATCTGTCTTGACCTCAAGGCTTCATAACCAATGTATTCTAGGCTTCAAACAGATCTACCATGCCAAGATCTATTGAAAATTATCATTTTAAAAATGTTGAAATAGGGCCAGCCCCAGTGGCCTAGTGGTTAAGTTCAGCACACCCTGCTTCAGCAGCCCAGGTTCAGTTCCCCAACATGGACCCACACAACTCTGTTAGTGGCCATGCTTGTTGGCAGCCCACACACTAAAAAAAAAAAAGAAATGGAGGAAGACTGGCACAGATGTTAGCTCAGGGCAAATCTTCCTCAGGAAAAAAAAAAAGGTTGAAATAATTTCCTTTTGTGCTCTTATACTCAGATAAGCATATTTCCCTTTAGCAACCAATGAATCTTACTATGAAACAAAAGAAGTCTGTGATTGGCACACTTAAATTTCCACAAATCAAGAAGTATAATCTGATGTAATCTTATAAAATGCATTGTTTTTCAAATAATAGATAATTTTCATTGGGTTTAAGACCTTTTCAAAGATTACCTAGCAGAGTTTTAAAGTCGGTGCTTAGTGGTGGATAACAGTACATCTCCAAAACATATAGGGTTGGGATTTTTTCAAACAAACAGACAAAAGTCAACAGCTACAAAAGCCAAGATTATGACCACCACCCTGCTACAGCACAATCAGTACACAGGCTGCCAATCTTATTTTTTCCTAACTCAGCTAATTTCTTCAAAAATGTCACTCGTTTTTCTTTCTGTCATCAAAAGGTCTAGTTCACACAAATTTCACAGTCTTTACGGATTTCTGATAAATTCTAATAATGTCCCACCTCATGTGCTACAGAAAATCGTGCTGTTAGGAAAAAAAAATAATATAACTTTTTTCTTTAAAAATAATGTATGATTTGTAATCAAATAGGACTCAAGTCAAGATTGCTGCATGACTTCACTACTCAGGAATTTTAAACATGCAACAGCACGCGGAGGAAGCTGAATTCTATCCGAATACAAGTGAAACCACACTTGATATGAGCCTCAGCAAATGAGAGATTTTGCCACCAGCTTCAGATGTCCCTCCCCTGCCCCCCTGAAAAAAAGAGTAAAAGCAAGAAGTAGTACCTACAGTGTCAAGCCACACAAGTCACTTTGAGTTTTCAAAGAGGAAATGGTGAACCAGCCTTCCCAGTTCCTCAAAAATTAGCTTTAATGCTACCGACATGCCAAAGAGATTAAGGTAGAAAGGGACGCCAGTAGAGTTAGGAAAGCGATAGCATTTAAGAGCCTATTTACCAATATATGGTGCCAGACCAATAAATGGTAAGGGGTTAAAGAGATAGTAGATGATGAAGAAATACAGGTAATGAATGTAGACCATTGGGAGGAATTTGATCACAAAAAAACACAAAAGATGGTAATCAGGTGGAAATCAGTTGTAAAACAAGGGCACTTTTCAAGGTACATCTGCAATATAAGAACACGCACATATATGGGTGACAAACAGGGACATGGACACAGTAGGCTTTGGGAAGGCATGGAATCTCAGGCAGAGGGGCAACCTTTAAAAGAAGACATCAAAGTTCAATGCTGAAAGCAGAAGAAATGGAGAATTTGGAGCTTAAGAAGAGAGCAGGTCATGAACATCTTCAAAAGCGATGCATAAAAAGAGGCCCAACAGCCCTCTTTACAAATGTGATCATGCCAGAAAGCAGAGCCTCTTAAAAGACCTCCTACTCCTCTGGTCTCAATTAATTCACTATTGCTAAATTTGCTGAGTTTTTAAAAGTGGAAACTAGACTTTACCTTTATACCTCTTTCCTCCTCCTTTAGCATATCTTCCAAATTGGTAGCTTTCTCTTCTATAGACAGAGTTTTCTCAGTTATATGCTTTAATTTATCTTTTGCAATCTGATTATGATTTTTAATTTTGTGTAACCTAGAGACGGTTTATGAGGAAAAAACAGAAAATGTGCCTAAAAAGTATTTCATGCAAACAAATGAGGTATAGTTTACCCTAAGATTTCTTCCTATAACTGAAAGGTGTCTTTTGCCATAAACCTTTTTATCACCAATATATATTTAATAAACCATAAAAATATTGCTCCTGAGTATTTTTGATAAAAAAAATCCAAGAAATGTTTTTAATGTAATAATTTAGTAGCCATAATTTTATAGTTATTTAACAAAAAAAATTTAATAACTTTTCTAGATGTAGTCAAAAATTATAAACATATTTAAAAGTCTTTTTCTTACCTTGTTGTTTCTTCAAGAATATCCTTCTTTATTTTGGAAATATTTTTCCTCAGAGCCTCTAAATCACTGGAACTTCTATTAACAGTGGCTTTTAAAGAATCCAGCTATTTAATTAGTTAACAGATAGAAATTACATATTTACTCTATATCTTATAAATTAACTTCAGTACTAAGAAGTTCTATTCTAAACACTTTAATTTCTAACCTACATCACATGTATAAACACAGTAACCATGTTTCTGTAATATGTATTAACGGTTTCTCTTCTTGATTTAATATTAACTTTTAAATGACTTATTGAATAATACTGGCAAATTACAGAGACCTACATACATATTTTAAAAGCAAATTAGAGCGAAAGTTTCAGAGCAATGGATTTAGCAAAGATTTCTCAGATATGACACTAAAGGTACAGGCAACAAAAGAAAAAACAGACAAACTGAACTTCATCAAAATTAAAAACTTTTGTGCATCAAAAGACATTATCAACAGAGTAAAAAGGCTACCCACAGAATGGGAGGAAATATTTGCAAAACATATATGTGATAAGGGATTACTATCCACAATATATGGAGAACTCCTAAAACTCAAAAACAACAACAAAAATCTGATTCAAAAATGGGCAAAGGACTTGACGTTTCTCCCAAGAAGATACACAAATAGTCAATAAGCAAATGAAAATATGCTCAATATCATTAATCATTTAAAAAACACAAGTCAAACTACAATGAAACTCCACCTCACAACCATTAGGATGGCTACTATCGAAAATAAATAAATAGGAGCCTGCCCCATAGCCAAGTGGTTAAGTTTGCGTGCTCCACTTTGGCGGCCCAGGGTTTCGCTGGTTCGAATCCTGGGCATGGACATGGCACCACTCATCAAGCCATGCTGAGGCAGCATCCCACATGCCACAACTAGAAGGACCCACAACTAAAAATACACAACTATGTACCAGGGGGCTTTGGGAGAAAAAGGAAAAATAAAATCTTTTTTTTAAAAAAAAAGAAAGAAAATAAATAAATAACTGTTGGCGAAGATGTGGAAAAATGGAACGCTGTCGGTGAGAACGTAACATGGTACAGCCACTGTGGAAAACAGTATGGCAGTTCCTCAAAAAATTAAAAATAGAATTACCATATGATCCAGAAAATCTGAGATAATTGTACACTCATGCTCATAGCAGCATTATTCACAATAGCTAAAACATGGAAGCAACCAAAGTGTCCATCAAGGGAGGAATGAATAAGCAAAATATGGTATATATGTACACACAATGGAATACTATTCAGCCTTTAAAAGGAAGGAACTTTTGACATACACTACAACATGGATGAACTTTGAGGACATTATGCTAAGTGAAATAAGCCAGTCCCAAAAAGACAAATAGTGCATGATTCCATTCGTATGAGGTACTCAGAGTAGTCAAAATTATAGAGACAAAGTAGAATGGTGGTTGCCAGGGGCTGGCAGGGAGGAAGGAAGGGGAAGTTACTGTTTAATGGGCATAGCATTTCAGTTTTAGAAGAAGAAAAGAGTTATGGGAAATGGATGGTGGTAGTGTTTGCACAACATTAAGAATGCATTTAACTACCGAACTGTACGCTTAAAAATGGTCAAGTTGGTAAATTGTATGTTAATGTGTATTTTACCACAACAAAAAAATCTGGAGAAAAATGAAGTACTGATACATACTGAAATATAGATGAACCTCGAAAACATCATGTAAGGAAAAGAATACAGACACAAAAGACCCCACATTATATGATTTCTACCACCTTTCTACTTCGGACATTATACGAAATGTCCAAAACAGACAAAGCCATAGAGACAGAAGGTAGATTAGTAGTTGCCAGGGGCCAGCTGGAGGGGGAAAGGAGAGTGACTGCTAATAGGTATGGGGTTCCTTTGTGAAGTAACAAAATTATTCTAAAATTAGATAGTTGCTGCACAATTCTGTGAATATACTAAAAAATACTGAATTGTATACTTTAAAATGGTGAATTATATCTCAATAAACAAATTATGAATGAATGAATAAATAAATCCCTGTATTCTTTTCTGCAATTGGTTTAAACTTTAAAATTTTTAAGAATGAGCTATTAGCAGTGACATTTAATCTAGGCAAGAAATTCATTTATTTTACGTTTTCAGGATCTTACATGATTATTCTCTTTGGACAGATAAAAAAATAATCCTTTCTTCTTTATCAGAAATAAAAAGCATAACAACTTATAGAATAAAATTCTCTACAATATTCCAACTTCCCACCTAAACAGTGGTAACCTCAGATAAAATAGCCTCAAGGTACAAATTTCATAAAGATCCCTTTATTGCTAACTAAAGGGATCTCTACTCTCCCTATGGAATAATCTAGTTGGCATGTATGCCTGCAAAAGAAGAAAAGAACAAAGGAGGAGAAGTTTTGTTCTCTTAGCCTGTTTCAAGGTATTTTATCACTACATTGTCCCACTACCACACTGAAATATTATCCCCTAACAAGGTGAGAAACTGAACTGGAGCAGGTAGGTCCACCTAGAATTTGAGAGTTAAAACGACCATCAGCACGTATCACTAGACAGACATTTCAAGTCATCACTGATGTCAATATGCACCTTCAATTTTGCCCGTTTGCTGATTATCTTATATTTCAGGACGTCCAGTCTAGACCCTTCAGGAGCCTTTTGCCTTGGAGCACTTACAAAACACCATGTGTGACAGGAAGTTGGACCCTGCACAACTCCAGGGGGAGCCCTTCACACCCACCTGTGACGTGAACAGCATCCCCATTGCCTTCGCCAATCAGGGGCTCAATCAGAGTATCCTAAAAGTTCCACCACATGAAGGGATGTCACAAAGAGCACTAGAGGGCAGTTCCTTGATCAAAGGAGAGCCTTTATGTTTATTTTTACAGTAATTTCTCATAAACAGACAAACCAGTCTTTTTAGTTGACATACCTCATCCTTCAGCTCAGTTCTATTAGTTTCATGATGCTGATATTCCATTCTACATTTTAAAACTTTACGCTCAGCAATAGAAATTTTTTTCTCATACTCTGCGTTATTTCCAATCTCACTTTCCAAAAACTTGATCTTTTCCTTAACCAAGCTTTCTTTTTCTCTTGCTTCCTGCTTTATCCTTGCCAATGCCTAAAATTTAAAAAAATACATTAAATATGTGTTTAATATGGCAAACAAAACTAAAAGGAACTTAATTTTTATTTTTATTACTATACGCAGTATTTATTTTACCAAAACTTAACAGAATTTTTTTTGAAGAGAGACTATTTTTTTATTTTTATTACTTTTTTTGAAGAAGAAGATTAGCCCCGAGCTAACATCTGCAAATCCTCCACTTTTTGCTGAGGAAGACTGGCCCTGAGCTAACATCATGCCCATCTTCCTCTACTTTATATGTGGGACGCCTACCACAGCATGGCTTGCCAAGCGGTGCCATGTCTGTACCTGGGATCCGAACCCAAGAACCCTGGACCGCCGAGAAGCAAAACATGCAAACTTAATGGCTACATCACCAGGCTGGCCCCAAGAGAGACTATTTTTATATGAATAAGAGCAAAATATTAATATGCTACAAACCAATATCTATAAGCTCATATTTTTAAAGATCTCTATATTTTCTTTGATCTGTCTAGTACTTTGCTAAAGAGATGAGAAAAATGTCAATCTCTTACAAATGAAAGGTGACATCTAAAAAATATAGCAGTGTTGAATATTTTTCACATAGAAAGTTGGATTTCAATAAAATTTTCCAAATATTTCATAGAACCAGTTTTTTCATATTTTGAGAATTACATTTCAGTTATTAGTTTCAATAGGAATGCCTTCACTCAGGCTTTTTGCTGATCTTGAGGATACAAAATAAACAATATTCAAAATAGTAACTGAGATGTGGACAAAGTAACCATGGGAACAAAGAGATGATGAAGTTTACCCAAGAGGAATCATTAAAAGGCTTTATCTAAAAGGCTTCATTTGAGTTGGGCCTAAAAAGATAAATGGAGATGGATAAATAATCTGGTTAAAGTGTAGGGTGGGAGGGCAGGCAGGTAATGGGAATATATTAAGAAAGGGTAGGGTCTGGCCCGGTGCAGTGGTTAAGTTCAAATGTTCCGCTTTGCGGCCTCAGGTTCACTGGTTCGGATCCTGGGTGCGGACGTGGCACCACTTGGCATGCCATGCTGTGTATATGTAGGTGTCCCACATATAAAGTAGAGGAACATGGGCATGGATGTTAGCTTGGGGCCAATCTTCCTCAAAAAAAAAAAAAGAAGAAGAAGAAGGGGTAGATACAGATGAAAGGGATGAGACCAAAAAAGGTAGAGGTTAGGGCCAAATTGTGAAGAAAATAAACTTTTCCATCGCCCTGTTAAAGAAGCTCAATTTTCAAGCAATGTGGAACAAACAAGATTTTAGGGCTGGGGAATAAAAAGATCATATGTGGTTTTCACAAGTGATTCTTGTGGCAATATTGTTGGATGAATTGGAGGGAGAAGGAAAATTTACCCTAAAATGTATTTCTTCCCAATTTTCTAATACGAAGTCCCACCAAACAACTAATCCCAGGAGGCCGTGTTGGAGGAGGGAAGGTAGGTAATGATTCTGAAATCATTACGTTTTAGAAATGCTGCATGTAATATTGTACATATTAGCATATTAAATAGGTATATATTTGAGATGTACTGCATTTAAAAAAACATTTTAAATTTGTTTAATCTAGCATTCCCGTATGTTCTCTGTAACAATTAGCATTCTATAATTGCATCATTTTATATATGGCTGTGTTCATTCAACCAAAGGACAAATAAAACCTCCTAAGTTTATATATGTCAAATGATCATTCTAGAATTTCCTGCTGTATGTGATTTATCTACCACTTAATCTGGTACTTTAAAACCAACTTCAATATTCACAATTTTTAACAGTGTAATCTATTCACAGTTGATGTTTTCATACAGGTGATGCTTAGAAGTAATATCTCAAAATCTCTACACTGGAATAAAAACATAATAGAAAAATATTTTTTCTTTTCTAAATAATGTAAATTCTTTTTAGAAGCCAATTTCAGGATTATGGTCAGACTCCTGCCAAAAAGACACTGAAAAGGCAGGAACTGTCTTTGGAAGAAGAGGAACAAAAGGGTCCAATCTCAAAGGAAATCCTCTAGTGGCGTGAGCAGGCTCTCACTGGCTCACCAGAACTGATCACACATCTCCTCTCAACTCTGTACCCAGGGGAGTCACGTTGGTCTGGAAGTAGTTTCACCATGGAAATCAGAAATGCTCCAGATCGGGAGCCAGTTGTGAAACACTGAGAAGCATACCACTACCCATGGAGCCACTTCTTGGCACCCTCCCTAGTCTCTTACAATATAGACAGCCAGGAAATGTCAACCTGCAAACAGGAGTCACTGTGAATATGAGCAGGGAGCTACAAGTTGTGTATTCTGCCAAATCAGCAGGCTGAGTGAATTTAGCTGCGGTGGTGTATGAGAATACGATTATGGATCTGCAATCTTGGATCTGGCACATTTGATTTACACAGAGGAAGCAGTCAGGACTTGTTGTTTGAAAGCAACAAGAAGCTAAGAAAGAGAAACCAAGTCAGCATTAAAAATTAAGAGGAACTCACAGTCCAGATCGGCTCTTCCTTGTCTCTCCTAGGAAGGCATAGGCCATTTTGTCGACAAAATGTTGGTTACTTACAAACATTTAAAATAAAAGAATGTAACACATTTACATATAACAAGTTACATATAACAAGTAAACTGCATCCAGGTATTGGAATTCCAAACTCCCAGTGACCTGAGCTGCTTGCCAAATGCCCTTCTGTGGAGTAGATTCAGAAAGGAAGATAACATGTCTTCTCATCTATCTTCTTTCCTCCTCAACTCCTTCTCCTTCTCAACTTCCCTAAGCATCCCATTTTTACTCACCACTATTTTACCCCTTAATGTTTTCCCAAAAAAGTTCTCCTAAAATACCTCTGAAAGTAGCAAAAGATAACACTGGGTCTATGTTTAATCAGTGAGGTATTCCTCTCCTCCCCTTCTGAGCTTCTACCTCATTATTGGTGCCGCAGCTTCACCAGTGAAACTTTATTGTAGTCTAGGCTTCTTTCCTGACTCTCCCTCCTTGTTTCTTGGCTATATCCATGTGGCTCATTTCCCCACATCTGCGATCACTGCAAATAGCACACATGTTAAATCCAAGGCAGTTTGGACAACTGTGTGTAAGTCAGGCATTAGTTTTACTGCAATAACATTATCTACTGACTTCCTCTTGTTCCACATTTCAGAGATGGCAGGATCCAGTCTTCAGCATTATAATGCCATAAATCCATACTCTTCATAAAATCACATTTCTAAATGGATACAGAGTCAGCTTTGGAAAACATTTACCAAAACTATTCAATCCTGCTACAAAAGTGACTTTCAAATAACAGTGTGACTTACATTGAAATGAGTGAGTTAAATACAAAAGAGATAAATAAACAGCTGAACATTGCAAGAACCAAACAACTACTTTACCAAGGCACACTCATCGATGTCTTGATCCCTCTTCTGCATCTGTTCTATTGTGTTCTCCCACTGTTTAATGAGTTCTTGTCTTTCATTATGAATCTTACGAAAATCTTGTGCTGCTTTATCCAATTCTAACTGTCAAATAGAGAGCAAATAACATTTCTGTGAATTTAAGTGCTTTTGCCAACATCACTTTGACACTTAAGAAATAAAAATCTTCACTAAACCAACCTGCACACTTAGAGTTTCTGTAAGTTCGTTGTCAAGTACCTTTCTTCTCTGATTACATTCCAAAGTCAGTCTTTCTAATTGCAGAGTCAGCGCCTATGATGTATTTACACACAAACATATTCATAATTATTTTATTAACTTAAAATCCATTAGCATATCTCACATTAAGCATTATTATATCATAGATACACACGTACTTGATATATAAAGCAACTACAAAATAATATATATATATATATATATGTTCTTTATCTTTTACCCCAAAGGGCTGCAATGAAAACTCAATTGTTTCTAAAAAGGCTTTCAATACTTTTTAAAGTAGGTTAGAAAAAAGGATTAAACAATAACTTGCCATTTAAAATTATTTAAAATAAAGCATTTGGTATTAAATCTATTAGAAAATAGCATGTTTCATAATACTAAAGTATTATCAGATTTAATTACAAGTAGATTTTAAGTAATGGTTATAGTAATTAAATAACCAATACTACTATAGTCTCAAATCAGTAAAAATGATATGCAACGTTCAAACTATTATTTGGACAAAAGAAGTTCAAATACTTATACATAGTTCTTGTACAAAACTTTCTTTTCTGAATTGTTTTTGAGAACTCTTCTCAATCAGGATTCTTAACCCGGAGTCCATGGATCCCTAAATGGCCAAAGGGCTTCAGAGGATCTATAAGACTGAGCAAAATTTTGTGGGTATTTGAGTATAGCCATTCTTCTAGAGAGAGGATACTTGGTTTTATTAGATTCTTAAAGGAGTCCCTGACTCAAAAAAGTTTAAGAACTACTGCTTTAAAATTCTAAGTCTGATTTAGGTAAAAAGGTTGACACACTACAGACTGAAAGAAAACCTAACATTACAACTTATAATTCCTCACCCTAATTTTATTATCATCCTGTCGTGCATACTTCTGAAGAGTGAGGGCATCACTATCTTTATGAGCTGATTCTTCTAACCAGGCCTCCAATGCTTGCTGGTCCCAGTTCATTTGACGTTTCAAACCATCCAATTTTTGAGTAGTTTTAAATATGTTATTCTAATTTCCAAAGAGAGGGGGAAGGGGGAGATTACAAAACATTATATACTATACAAACTAAATAAAACATAACATTACATACTACGTATTAAACAGTAAAGAAGAAATCTCGTCCCTGTCTCTGCCCTCCCGATGTATATAACATACCATAGTTAATTATATAACTATCATACTTGTATTTTAATTTTTTTTTTTTTGAGGAAGATTAGCCCTGAGCTAACTGCTGTCAATCTTCCTCTTTTTCCTGAGGAAGACTGGCCCTGAGTTAACATCCATGCCCATCTTCCTCTACTTTATATGTGGGACGCCTACCACAGCATGGCGTGCCAAGTGGTGCCATGTCCGCACCCAGGATCGAACTGGCGAACCCTGGGTCGCCAAAGCGGAACATGCGCACTTAACTGCTGCACCACCGGGCCAGCCCCTATATTTTAATTCTTTAGTTGTGAAATAGAGGGGAGACGATTATACAACGTTAAGAACAGTAGTTGAACCAAAGTTTGCTTAGAAAGGCTTTAGGGTAGCTCTTCCAGAGCAATCTCACTAGTCACTGTGCCAAAAGCACTCCAAGTGGATATGCGATCTTAGTAAAAATAACGTGCCTGATACGCTAACTCCAGCCCAAGACAAGTCCCCTTCAGCCCCTTTCCAGTCAGACTGCTGCCTCCAAGAGGCCTCTTACATAGAAATTTTGGAAGCACTTCTAATTGAAATAAATATAGTAAAGGAAATAAAAATATTTCTGTAAACATATTCATTTAACAAAACTAGATTCATAAAGCAAAACAGATCAATATGCAAACATACATAAGTAATAAACTATGTATACATATATATGTGTGTGTACATTTCCATACGTATATGCATATGTAAAGAGAAGAAATGAATTTCGAAAGAGCACCCAAATCAGGTAACTAAAAACTAAGGGAAAGAGAAAAACAGGTTACAGTAATTTAATATTAGAGTCACAAGCTGATAAATCAATGTGAAAGGTAAAAATTTCGAACAAAAAACGAAATTCAAAATTAAAAGTGATTTTCTTAAATGTGCCTTTTAAAGATTTTATTTTTTACTTTTTCTCCCCAAAGCCCCCCGGTACATAGTTGTATGTTCTTCGTTGTGGGTCCTTCTAGTTGTGGCATGTGGGACGCTGCCTCAGCGTGGTTTAATGAGCAGTGCCATGTCCGCACCCAGGATTTGAACCAACGAAACACTGGGCCGCCTGCAGCGGAGCGCGCGAACTTAACCACTCGGCCACGGGGCCAGCCCCTTAAATGTGCCTTTTAAAAGCGCAGCACTTATTAATAAATTTTTCCTAGTATCATATAACAGGCAGCCAGCATGGTACTTTGCACATAGTCAGGCTCCATGAGTATTTGGTAAATGAATACTGAGAAAATAAATGTAACATTCTACCATTTTTCACTCACATTACAGCTCCATGTGCCTTTCATTGATCAAAAAACAATGTTACGTAAACGTCAGGAAACTAATAAATGCCTTTCCCATACAGAATAAAAATCAATGTTTATTTGGCGAGGGGAGAAGGAACAATAGCACAAAATTTTAAGTAACATTTCAACACATACTTCCTTATCACTTTTCTTTTCCCGTATTGAAACCATCTCATCTTCCAGCCGTTGGATCTCATCCTTCACTCGCCCCAGTTCTCTTTCAGCAATGATCTTAAAATGTTCTTCGCTTTCAATCTCATGCTCCCTGGCTTTGCAGAGAGACTACAGAAAAATATACAAGACAGAAAGCCTTCTCAAATTTTAATATTATAAAATACTTGAAATAATCCATTAGACAAAAAAACAACAAAATCCCCACAAAATTAGATTGGGTATTATTAATTTCACTTCTCTGAAACCTACACCACATTAGACTTTGTGATTCGTGTAGTCGGTGATGCTTACAAGTTGTAAGAAAGTCAGTTCATGGAATGTGCTGGGAGAAAACATTGTTGTCAGCAGTTTTCAGATATGACATTGGTCTAGGCAAACTGCAGAAAACCCAAATTTATATGGTGAGACTTAAAAAGATAGAATTCATTACTTATCTAAAAATAAGAAATGAAAGGGATTTAAAAATACTTGGGAAATGGGATATTTATATGAATTGATCACATACTCTAATTAACAGAGATAATTTTTAAATAATTATGTAAACACTGTTGGTTGTAAATACTTCCTGGGATATATTAATATACAATCATGCCTTTGTGTTATGTTTTACTTAAAAAAATAGTATTTGTTGACTACTGATCTTGTAGCGCTTCAAAGTTATCACCATCAGTATTATTTTTACATTATTAAAGCTATCAGTGTTGTAGGAAGTTTATTATCTTTTGTCTCTATTATCCTATTTAACTATTTAAGGTTTGACTATAACGAAATACACCTACAGAGAGTCTCCGTCTCTCTGGTGCCCAACTCAGTGGTTTAATAACTTAAGGAAAATATGTTGTTCCAAAGTTTATCAATTATTCAATCATATCAGGATTCAAAAATCCTGAGTACTATTTTTAAAAGTTCATTAAATTTGTAACTTTCTAATGAGTCTTATAAACCATGAAATAGTTACTTACCTATATTAATTATAAACTGGTATTAAAAACATGGCTTTGTACATTTTTAAGAATTATAGACTTTTTATAAGAAAGGTAGATGCATTTTTTAAAAAATAGTTTGAGATGGAAGTTAGTAAACCTTCCAGTGCTGATTTCCTGAGCTGTCTGATTTGCTGGGCATCATCAAGCAATGAGGTGTGACACATGAACAGATTGTCCATAAAACAGATGCTTACTTAATCACTTTGTTTTTATTTTTATTATTTGTACTAATATTTCTAAAATGCATCATACTTCGCCCAGTTATCTTAAATAGGCTCCTAAATATAATTTAACTTTTCTACTATCTCAGGATTGTCATTATAAATTTCAATTCTTAAACTATGCTAAAACACCATGGTACCCTAAGGGCTCGTGAAGTGTGTGGACCACTTGCTTCCACTCAAAATGGCCCCAGTGGGTTGTACGGGAAAATTAAAAAGTAGACAGAAACTCTATTATGTGTTATATTATGTCTATTTCTGCCTAGACCCCTCATTTCTCACTGGCGTCACTGTACCCTTCCTAGATAATCTGTTCCCTAATATTATGTTGAACTGTTGGAATGGTGAAGTCTCCTTTCAAATGAATGAATTATTCCTCGAACTTGGTGGCAGTAACGAGTTCCTCAAAGCCTTTTTTCCTATCTACTTTCAGGTTCCAGGTTATACTCACAATAGTTTAGTTATGCTAAAGTTTCCTATTATATCTCTAAAATAAAATCACAGATATAAATGCAGTGTGAAATGTTCCATGACCACACATGACATAATCCTCATGAAGTTCAACATTATTGTACCTGGGTAAATGAGAACTCTTGCTTAACATTTTTGAAGTGAGAAGTCATAGCATTAATTCGATCTTCATAGTCACGTAGCTGATCTTTCAAGCTTGATCTTTCATCCTGCAGCTTTGACAGCTGTAAATAATAAATGCTATGATTAAGTAAAGTCCTACTAAGTTTTTAGAGTATTAAAGAATCTAAAATCAAAGGAAAATTAAATCTTCATTTACTTTGCTTCTTTAAACATCCATTTGAACTTTTAAAATCTACTGATCTTTTAAATATTATAGTGTTACGATTTAGAGATTACCGTGGGAAAATTAGCACCATATTAAAACAGAATAGACATCTCTCTCAGATTTGCAGCATTAGCAGGGTTCAATGATTAAATGCATTTTTGATACAGCATTACTTAAAGGGAAAAAATGAGATTCTATTTCCTAATTAAACCACAAGGTCTCTAAAGGCAACCAGAGCACAGTAACAAGACATAACAAGAACACAGAGCATGAACCATAAATTTGAAAAGTACCTGGACACCAGGCATAATACCTCCTCCCTGAACTGCTATTCAAAACCAGGAGATTTAGGCTAAGCTTAACAGAACAGAACAACTAACTCTCATGTGCTTAGAACGTGTTTTTTAAAGTATTTTGTGTGTCTCTGAATTAGAACCTTGAGCAGAAACAAAACAATGTAAACACAAAACAAACAAACAAACACCTTAGGAAATTACAAGATAGATTCTCAGGACCATTAGAACATGTCACCCCTCAAAGCAATATAAAAGCTCAACAAAACAAAAATGTGCTTCCTTATATGCTTCCTTGGGCTGTGGTTCTCAAGGTTGGGGCTACAACCCAGCAAGTGCAAACACAATCCACTGAAGGGCAGAAGAAAATATTTGAATTTTTAACTAAGGAAGAAAGAAAATAAATACTAATTTACTCATTTGTTATGTCCTATATTTCATTAAACTTACTAATATTAAGTATGTATTTTTTCTTTTTATTTCATTAATTTCAGTTTTTATTTTAATTCCCTCTTTTGTGTACTTTGTTCTTTTTTAAAATTTATTAAGAGGAGTTCTTTGTTTTTACGTTTTGTCTTACTGATTGTTACGGACTAAATGTGTCACTCCCAAATTCATATGTCAAAGCCCTAACCGCTAGTGTGATGGTATCTGGAGGTGGGGCCTTTGGGAGATGAGCAGGCTTAAATTAGGACGTGAGGGGAGGACCCTTGTGACCCTCATGATGAGATTAGTGTCCTTACAGGAAGAGGAGGAGAAACCAGAGCTCACTCCCTCTCTGCCCTGTGAGGAGCAGCCAGAGGGCAGCCTTCAACAGGCCCGGGAAGAGGGCTCTCACCAGAACCCAACCGTTCTGGCACCCAGACCTCGACTTCCAGCCTTTCGAACCGTGAGAAACAAATGCGTGTTCTCTAAGTCACTCAGTCTATGGTACTTTGTTATGGCTACACGAGCTGATCAGGACACTGATCTGAAAATGAAGGCATCTGAGGCCACAGGTTTTCTCTAAGATTTTCACTGTTTCCCACAGATGTGGGTATGAAGCAGTCCCCCTTATTTTTTCTAAAAGGTGACTTTTCCCTTTCAGTTTCTCTTTGATATAAGAGCTATCCAGGAAAATATTTGTTAGAAATTTGCCTAACTATCTAAGATGGATGTCTTCGTCAGGTCAGGGCACCATAGCAAAATATCATAGACTGAGTGTCTTAAACAACAGAAATTGATTTCTCACAGTTCTGAAGGCTAGAAAGTCCAAGATCAAGGTGTCAGTGAATTCGGTTCCAGTGAAATCTCTCTTCCTGACTTGCAGATGGCCACCTTCTTTCTGTGTTCTCACATGGCAGAAAGAGAGAGCTCTGGTCTCTCTCCTCTTCTTGTAAGGACACTAATCCCACCATGAGACTCCATCCTCATGACGTCATTTAAACCTAATCATTTCCCAAAGTCCCCACCTCCAAATACCATCACACTGGGGGTTAGAGCTTCAACATATGAATTCAGGGTCCAGGGACAGACACACAGTCTACAACAATGAAAGATCATTTTTTTTTTAAGATTTTATTTTTTTTCCTTTTTCTCCCCAAAGCCCCCCAGTACATAGTTGTATATTCTTCGTTGTGGGTCCTTCTAGTTGTGGCATGTGGGACGCTGCCTCAGCGTGGTTTGATGAGCAGTGCCATGTCCGCGCCCAGGATTCGAACCAACGAAACACTGAGCTGCCTGCAGCGGAACGCGTGAACTTAACCACTCGGCCACGGGGCCAGCCCAAAAAGATCATTTTTTAAATTATTTCTTATAAATTCTATTGGCTTATGATTAGAGAATGTGACCTCTAAAATTTCTATCACTCATTTTTTTTAATTGTGGCAATATATACATAACAAAATTTACCATTGTAACCATTTATCAGTCTACATTTAGTGGCATTAAGTACATTCACATTGTTATGCAACCATCACGACCATCCATCTCCAGAAACTTTTCATCTTCCCAGACTGAAACTCTATATCCATTAAACACTAACTCCCCATGCCCCTTCCCCCCAGCCCCTGGAAATCACCATTCTACTTTGTGTCTCTACGAATTTGACTACTCTAGGTATCTCATATAAGTGGAACCATACAGTAGTTGTCCTTTTGTGTCCAGCTTATTTCACTCAGCATAATGTCTTCAGGGTCTATCATCCACTTTTTTTGGGGGGGGGGGGGGGGGGGTGGCAGGGAGGGTGAAGATCAGCCCTGAGCTACCATCTGTGCCAATCTTCCTCCATTTATATATAGGTTGTCACCATAGCATGGCTGACAAGTGATATAGGTCTGTGCCTGGGATCCGAACCCACAAACCCAGGCCGCCGAAGCAGAGCGTGCAAACTTAACCACTCGGCCACAGGGCCAGCCCCAAATCATTTTTAATATAAAACTAACATTAAACACTTGTAGTAAATTAAGGGCATTGAATAGAATGAAAATAAAATAAACCTTGATAATACAAAAATAATAAAACTATTTTTTAATGGGGGAATTTTTAGCAATCACTCTCTCTTATAATCAAGTAATACCTGAAATTCAACAACTCTTTTCTTTTTCTTCTCTTAAATACAAGTGAAATTAAATTAAAAATGTTATGTTAAAAACACCACATATAGTACAATTCCATTTTTATAATACTCCAGTTTGTCTTTTCTATGTTTCTGTAGACGATGATGTCTAGAATATTTAATGCCACAACAGTCACATCATGGGCAACAGTGGGTAATTTTGGGAGGGCATATCTTATATTTTTTATTTTATACCCTTCTGTTCTGCTTGGATATCTTAAATTTACAAGAGTTGCTTTTTTAATGTCAGAGTTTATTCAGGTGAAGTAATTATAGCCCTCATTCTTCTTCCTTTATTGCTCTGTAATATTTTTTATAATAGTTAATATAAGTAACATGTATATAAAATATTGTGAGACAAATATTATGATAATAATAACCAAAAACTAACATTTGAATGGAACTTTAACCCACATTAATGTCCTTAGAGCTGTATAACAACCCTATGAGATAATTATTTTACTTATCTCCGGTTTACAGAAGAAGAAACAGGCTCAGTGCTGGTAAGTAGGATCTGAACACTGAGCTGGATATTTATTATTCCACAGCACTCAGTGCTAGATCTCTTATATTTCCTAACTTTGCCCTTCATGGAAAAAACAAACAAAAACGAAGCCATCTAAATTAGACACGAGTAAATAGGTTGGAGTATTTTGAAAAAAAAAATATTTTCAAAAAATAGAGTGAAGGATTTTCATGTTCATTTTTCAGAGGCGAGAAAATTTTCTCTTCCATTCTATAAAGTAGTGTAAACATCTGTTCTTCTTGGAACCTCTTCCACACAACACATTGCCATGTGATGGAACTTTAGATTGACTGCTTAAGGTTTTTAAGTTTCCTGAGGTGGTTGCAATTTTGTTTTTGACCACTACTCTGCACTGGTTGCAAGCTGGTGTAAAATATTCCTTAAACTTAAGAGATTTATCATTCTGTGACAACTTAATCCTCATTTTGAGAAGCCGTAAACTGCACATTTTACATTCTTACTAGAACGTCGCTCTTGAAAACATTTCTTCGAGTCACTTCTACTTTAAACATCATAGGCAGAAACTCAAAAAGAAATGTCAACCAGGACGTGTTTTGTTTATAAACACCCGCAAATAACTGTTGCTACGCAAACCTCAGAAGTCCCTTTGCAAGACGCGCTTAAATTCTAAGGAAGGAAAAAGTGGGTGAGGGAAACAGCCTTCCCTCTCCCGTCCAGGAGGCTGGAAAGGAGTTTATGGAGTGGGAAAGGAGGAAGAAGTAAAGATTCAGGCTTTATAGTCCTGAACATCAATTATCGTTTCAATACTTTTATTTTTTTTTTTTTTAATGCTTAGCGTGTGCCGAAAAGGGCGGGCAGGTGAGGGAAGGAGACGGGGCGAGGAAGCGTTAAGATGGGGTTAAGGAAAACAGAGAACAGATGGGATTAGGGAAGGAAAAGAGAAAAATGAAAAGGTTGGGGTATTCCTGCCAACCAGAACCCACCCCCACCCCCACCCCTAGCCCCCGCCTTCTTCACCTGATCCTCACCTGATCTTCAAGCATCTTGTTCTCCTGGTTCGCCACAGGGATGGCAAACCCATTCTCCCAATGCAGCTCCGCCAGGAATTCGCTACTCATGATGGCAAACGGATAGGGGACCTCAAACAGAGTACAGAGGAAAGCTCTGACTTCTCTTAGCGCCCCTGAGCAGCACCCTAGGCACCCGCAAAGCTCCGGGGCAGTTCTCACCGGAGCCCTAGCAACCGTCCCGCGTCCTTAGTTACCAAACAGGAAGCGCTCAGGCCCGAAGGCTAAACTTCCGGTTGAGAACTTCCCTCCCTGGATCCGCAGCCACGTTTTTGTTTTTGAGCGCCAACGGAAGCGAAGCAATTTACTCCTCCAGAAGTTCGCTGGCTTTGCCAGGCGCCGGCATAACTTTCTATTAAAGTGTGGCCCTGGATCGTCCCCCGACGTCCCCGGAGTCTGTAAAATCGGTGGCGCCTGCAGTCGCCGGGGGACCACAGGGTACGGCAACGGCAACTGTCGGATCGCCGGCGGAAGATGAAAGCTAACGAAAAGAATCAACCACGCTTTCTTTTCAAGTGGGTTTGTTGTTTCATCCACAGATGAAACCTAGTAGGCTGAAGCAGACTGTATTTGGAAGCAGAATTCACTCCCTAGAATCATTGCTGGATATTTTTTTTTTTTAAGATTTTATTTTTCCTTTTTCTCCCCAAAGCTCCCCAGTACATAGTTGTATATTCTTCGTTGTGGGTCCTTCTAGTTGTGGCATGTGGGACGCTGCCTCAGCGTGGTTTGATGAGCAGTGCCATGTCCGCGCCCAGGATTCGAACCAACGAAACACTGGGCCACCTGCAGTGGAGCGCGTGAACTTAACCACTCAGTCACGGGGCCAGCCCCAGTGCTGGATATTTTGATGTTCGCCTGTTTTAATCTTCTGGTCTTCCTCTCACTGCTCATCGGCCCCACGGCAGCGCCCTAGCTGACCGCAGACGTGGACTGCGCAGAGATGGCAAACTTGCAGTGCAGTGTGTGGCCCCTCCCGAGCCACTCCTACACCTTTATTTTTCTTTGCATTTTCATTTGTTAACATTTACAATCTTGAATTTCACATAAACATGTATATTTCTTCCTAATCTCGAAAAAAGCTAGGAAACAGAGCCCACATTATCAAAAGGCATTATTCGGCTGAAGCGGCGCCCCCTCTAGACTGGCAAAAAACGTCACCAGTTCACTGGTTTAAATTACCTTGCTTGGCGCTAGCATGCATTTGAGTCTATGGCCTCTGTTGTATAGCATCTCAGAACTGGAAAAGACAAAACAGTCAACTAATCTAATCCTTTAGTTTTCCAGATAAATAAACCGAGGTTCCCTGAGGTGAAGCGATTAAAGTAGGCAGGAGCTAAACTAGAATACAGGTTTCTTAATCCAAACTAGGCCCTCTGCAATGACGGTGGTGGTGTCCGGATTACCCTCTACCACTGCATCCTGAGCATCAATTAATTTCGCTGATCCAGGAAACAACTATCTGTAGCTTTCTCTGCCCTTTTGAATTTTATTTTACCTATACTTTGTTAAGCTTTTTACTATAAAAAGTTTATATACATATATATATATATGTGGATAGACAGTAGGGTATAATGAACCCCCATATCTCATCACCTTGATTTAACATTCATATTTTGCCATATTAGCTTCATCTGTATCTTTTGCTGAAGCGTTTTAAAGTAAATCACAGACATCGACATTTCACCTCTAACAACCTGAGCATGCATCACTAATGTTAAACACAGTATCATTAACACATCTAACAAAATTGACAATATCAAAATTCTTCAGTATCATCTAATAACCATTTTATATTCATATTTCCTCAGTTGTCCTGAAAATGTCTTTTTACAGTTAGTTACTATACTTTTGAAACCCTCTCATAGTAGCTTTGTCTGTTTTTGCTTACATGATTTTCCATATATTTAATCTTAGGGACTTAGAAATAGTATCTTCAAAGACTAGAATGAGCAAGACGTTTTACTCCCTACTTCCACAATACCTAAATTCCCAAGGTGGTAGGGGAGAAAGACTCAGCTTATAAAGGAATTTTGACCTATATAGGATAAAGGAATTCTGGAGCTTAAGTAACCTTTTAGAAGATCATCTTTTGTTGTATAATAGTTTAATCATTCCTACTAGTGAAAATGTTAGTATCCAGCCTATATTAAGATGGCAGGTAGCTATTTATACTTGAGATTTGTTATGGCAGTGCTGCTTTTTAAAACTGTTAGTGTCGTGCTGTCCATGTGTCTTAAGCATTCCCTTTCTAACGTCTTATCCCAGTTCGTACTGTGAATACTGAGGCAGCTGCCTTGCGCTGTGCCAGTCTGTTGACCTACCCCTCTCAGTGTCAGCTGTAGCTGCCAAATGCATGACTGCAGCTGTCTTTGCTGGGTACTCTCTTCGGCCCCAAGGACATAAGAAGTCTGGCAGCTGAATCCTTGCAAAGTGTCCCACTTCCCATATTTCAAGGACTCTTTCCAGAATTTCAGGATGACAATTATACAATGTTGAATTTTGGACAAAATGTCCATGCATTCTTCAAATTCCACATTTCTACCTTAAAACAATACCCCTCTTTCTCCACTTCATCACCACAGCATTCCCCATCATCCAGTTCTCACTTTTATAATTCCTCTAGATCATAACTCTATTTGAATTCATTCAGGTCTAGATTTGGAAACAAAACCCAGTTTTACAAGCCTTGTCACTGACCATGAACTATTCAATTTAATCCCCAAATGCTAAGGTAGATATTACCTTTTACTATTTCATTCTCAAGTAGATAAGTTCATCCAAATCAGATTATCCAGGCTAAAGTATAAGAAGATTGTTTGTTTTGCAAAAATAATGTGATCTTGGTAAAAAAAATAGAAAAATACGTATATGTGTAAAGGAAAAAGACAAGATATCCTTCACCTCCATACCAATCTCATTCCCAAGAGGTTGGCACTGTTTGGTGTTAATCCTATCAGCACTTTTTTAAATGAAGCTATAAATATATGCATATATTAATTGTTTTCTATAGACATAGCATAATATTATATGTATTCTTTACAAATTTATTTTTTCACTTAATAGTGGCCATGTTTCCATGTCAGTACATTAGATCTTTGGTCATTTAATGGCAGCTTGAAATTCAGTATTATCAATTTTAATTTTTTAAACAATGCTGCAATAAACATCTTTATAATACCATATTTCATCAATTCTAGGGTATGCTTGTTTTCACATTTTAATATCTTTGAATCAGAGATGCATCTTTCAATCAGTAGTGTCTTAGATTTGGTGAATAAGATATAAATTTGCATATTTATATATGTTTCTGTATGACATATTCTTAGAAGTAAAATTAATGGAAAACAATTTTGTTTTGATAGATACCACTAAATTATCTTTCAAAATGTCTTTACATACCAACAGAGTATGACAGTATTCTTGCATACTCTGGATATTATGAAGTATTAAATATTTTACAACCTAAAGAGAAAAATGTGGTATCTCGTTGTTTATTGACAATTCTATAATTATGAGTGAGACTGAGCATCACATTTTTTCTGCTAAGGATTTCTTTCTCATAACATTTGCCTATTTTTTTAATAAGGTTGTCTCTTCTTATTGAATTATAGCAGTGCTTTATATGTTATACATTGTATTCTTTGTATGTGTGTGTGTGTGTGTGTATGAATAATATTTTTCTCCCAATCTGTTTTTGGGGTTTTTTAAATTTTCTTTTTAGTATATTTTGCCATGCACACCTCAGAAACTGCTCTCATTGCCATTAATATGCTTCATATTCCAATGGACATGTTCGTCATCAATTTACCTGATCTACGGGCTGCATTTAGCTCAGCTATTCCTTCCCTGTTAAAACATTTTCTTCTCTTGGCTTTTATGACTCTTTGTCAGTTTCCCATTAACCTTCTGAATCTCCTTTGCCATTTTATCTTGTCCTGCTTGACCTCTTAATATTAGTATTCCTCAAGACTCAAAGCTGATCCCTCTTCTCTTCTTACACTTGCTTCCTAGGTGATCATAGCCATTTTCATGGCTTTAAATACCATGGCTGGTATTTTTTTTAATGATTCTCATCAATGTGTCTCTAACCCAGTTCTCTCTTCTGCATTCCAAACATATATCCAACTGCCTACCTGACTTCCATTGAGATGTCTCCTGGATATCTCAAATCAAATCTGATACACAGGTCCAAGACAGAATTCTTGATTTCATCCCACATATATTTTAAACCTCTTTTTCAGTCTTCCCTACCATAGTAGAACCACTGCCATGTATCCAGCTGTACAAAACCAAATCCTGGTGGCCATTACTGATTCCTTACTCTTCCTCACCTCCCACCTCCAATACGTCAGTGTTACATCTCACTTCTACCGCCCCCAATCTGTATTGATTCTAATTCACTCCTTCTCTACTGCCACCACTCCAATTCAGACTGTCATCATCTCTCACTACACTATTGCAATTGCTCCTCAATGATCTCCCCATTCCCTAAAATCCATTCCCCCTCAACAGTTAAGGTAATCTTTTATTCCCAGCGTCTAATTTTGAAATGTTTCCCACATACAGAAAAGTTGAAATAATTTTACAGTGAACACCAATATCCCCTTGATCTAGATGTTTCCTATGTCCTACCATTAACTTTTGACTATTCTTTTGTTATCACAGGTCTATCTATCTAGTCATTCATTAATCCATGTTATTTGTTGATGCATTTCAAAGTAAATTGCAGGAATCAATACACTTCCTCCCTAAATACTTCACCATGCATAGGTTTACTTTTGTTTACATTATTTCCTCTATGGGTAAAATTTACATACAAATAAATACACAAATCTTGAGTTTTGACAAATGCACACACCTGAAGATGTAGAACATTACCCCTACTCCCGCTTGCCTCTTTCCAGTCAATCCCTCCTCTCACCTCCCTCAACCCCCAGAGGTAACTACTGTGCCGATGTTTTCTCTATCATAAATCAGTTGTCTCTTTTTTAAAACTTCAAATAAATGGAAAGGTACTATATTGGGCTACTTTACAATTTATTGCCTCTCAACTCCAAATTCACCCATTTTGCCCACTCTGTGAAAACAGATATGGGTCCTTTAAAGATTTCTCCTTTGACCGTTGGCACAACATCAAGCTTTATCCATAGAGGGCACGGGAGAGACATTGCAGGAGGAA